GCCACAAATTCGCTGTCCGAATGGGAGAAGGCTGCAGAGAGCAGCTGATCCCAACACCACCTCCGTTGCTTGGCAGAATTCCGTTTTCTTGTGTGTTCTCGTATGAGGTTGGAGTGTGTTGAGTGTGTTTTGAGTGTCACATTTTTTGAATGCACGACACCATCCATGTACGAAGGGGGCCGCTTGCTCCCTATTCCTTTTTGTACGTCTTTCTTTTTCAAAAAAACTCCGTTTGGGGGCCATTCCGGGGTTCGATGGGCCTATTCGCGCCCGTCGCGAAAGCCTGCTGCCGACTCTGTTTGTTGTTTCTGGCATTGCAAGGAGTTTAGGGGGGGAAGGGGGATCCTGCTACTCAACACTATTGTTCCAAAGTTCTTTTTTTATGTTCCGAAGGTACGATAGTCGAAATTTTCAACACTGCCGCAGTCTGGTGGCATACGTGTAATTGCAACTACGTTTACCAGTGATGCCAACTGTTTTGATCGCTCATTCCGTGGGGTGTATACACGAGCATGGTATGACAAAAGCTTGAGCGCTTCAATTGGATAGCGGGAAACGGAACGAACGACACGTATATACAATCAAGGCCACAAGCCACATGCAAAGCTTTTTCATACCTCTTTCTGTACATGAACACATCCACAGATTCTTCTTGTTCCAATTCATTTGCATGCGCTTATCGTATGAACACGTTTTTCTTGACTCACACACTCTCTCCTCTCCTTCTGCTCCAATCTCCAAACCTCAACCAGGTTCTCATAACCCGTGTTGGCCTCTCGCCCCTTCGCCGCTGATTAAGAAACCCCTCTCCCGGTTCCTCTCCCTATCCCCTCCTTTCATTCTCCCTGCTCTCGTAAGGTGTGTCGTCATGTGGCAATTGGATTAGTGCTTCCCGCTGGCTTTAGCAACCAATCGGGTCCCAAATACCGGTGCTTATTTCGGGTACAAGACAATGCCGTCGTACTGCCGCCCCTTGATACTCTCGAGGATGTGGTAGAAATGACGTTTGCTGTTCTCGACCGAAGCCGAATCCTGCTGGTTGCCGGCGAGGTTGGAGTGAATGAGCTCGATGAGGCCGTTGAGGTATTTGGTGGTGACCTGTAGTCATGTCAGCACACAAAGTTCAGAGACAAAAATCTCGGCACAGAGAGTAGAAACTTACCGCCGCGTTCTGCTGCTCAAAATAGTACACATATCGGTCAAGAATTTCAACAAACAGCTCAATCGACGTCGCCGTCTCCATGCAAGAGTCAGCAACGCGCAGAGCTCTCTGGAGACATTCGAGCACTCTCTTGCCATCACGGTAGAGCTGAGAAGAGTTAGCAAGTGTCGCTTGATGGGGTACGCGCTCCCAACTCACTCCAGTCTCGTCGGCCTCGCCATTGACGGCCATGGGCGTGGCCCACCACAGATGACTAGCCAGGTAGACAGCACGGCACTGGTCCGGCTTTCGCAATAGCTTGCTGCCGTGCTGGGCGCACTTGGTGATGAGGGTGTCGTAGTTCTCCTTGCCAAAGTTTCTTGTTTGGTGCAGCGCCGTCGCGATAACGCAGACAGCTTGGAATTGCGCCTTGGAGTCCGAAATGGCCTCCTCGTAGACAGTGAAGGCTTGAGCGAAGAACTCGTATGCTACCTCCTCGAAGCCTGTCATGTCAGCTGTCTGACCGGATGCGCAGAACAGACGAAGGGCCAGCTCGGCAGCGCCGGCTCCGTTGACACGGGTGTACAGGGTGCTCAGGGCAGAGTGCATAAACTTGAAGAGGGCGTTGCTCTGGGTCTCCCAGTTGTCCTCGTAGTGTTCACGTGTCTTGAAGCGTCTTGCGAGCTTCATGCAAGCTGTGATGAGCGGCGGTGTCGTCGTGCGGATCCTCTCGTTGCCCTCGGAGTACGCCTTGCGAGTCATCTGCAACAGGCGGAACTGTGTGTCGTTGTCTTCGCCTTTAATGAGGTGGACAATTCTGGCCAGCCAACCTTGTTCCTCCATAGTCTCGTCGGTTTCGACAGCACGGCGCTGTGCAACGCCCGGGTAGTTGGAGGGTGTCTGGGAGCCCTCCTTAATGAGCACCTTCAAGACCTCCAACACATTCTCCATTTGGCTTGGGGTGGAGATCCGTGTCTGATCACGGAGAAGAGTGCGAGCCACCTCGCCAGCAACAGCACGGCGAGTCGGGTACGACTGTGACTGGAAAAGGGGAACGTAAGTGGGAAGAGAGAGAGCGGTAAAGATGGAAAGGTAGCGGTTGAGAGGCGCTTGTAGTAGAGCCAAGAGACTTTGCTGTGCCGGGGGAGAGTGAAGGTCGGCGTTGTTTGCGTTTTCCCGGACTTTGATCGTGGCATACTCGAGAATCTGGTTCACAAAGTCTAGCCTCTCGGGGTAGATGTTGAGTGCCAAGTTTGTCAGTGAGCAGAGCAACGCTATTGTGTCTGGGATGGGGAGATGCTGCGCATCCACCAAGTTTTTTACTTGGCTGAAGAAAATCTCGTACAGCTGCACGTTCTCCGGGATGCCCTTTTCTGCGTCAGCCCCTTCTCCATTGACGGCAGTCGCCTCAGTATCAGCGATCGAAGGAGCTGGCTCTTCCGGTGGGGGGAGGTCCTCTGCGGCACGGGCTTCGTTTTCGCTGCTCTCGTGCGCGGCACCGTTTGTATCGAGATCGAGGGGTTTCCCGTTCTCGTCCACACCTGAGCCCCCACCTGGCGCATGTGATGCCTTTTCGGCCTGCAATTTCGTCTTCTCCAGCAGAGCGGATAGTGCCTCCTCCTCCAGCTTGGCGCGGTCGCCTTCTCCGTCGTCCTTGGATTCGCGTTCGGCGTAATCTGACAAGCGGTCCATGAGACCGATAACAATAGCTTTGACATTGACGTGAGGATTCAGGCGTGAAACGGCTCCGAGGAATTGGTCCAGAGTGTGCAGGTGAAAGTCGTCGGGGAAGACCTGGGTGATGACTTCGAGCAGGTACTCCTGCGCCAGGACATCGCGACATTGCACAACCTGCTCTAGCAGAGGCGCCAGAATGCCTGATTTGTACGTCTCCAGGTCCACGAGTTGGCTCAGTCGGACGATGTTGCTTCCAACCAGTAGCTGAAGCTCTTTCCGCTCTCTTGTCCGTTGTTCGCGCTCGCGGGAATGGCCCTGGTGCTGCAGCCGCACCCAGAGCTTGTTCATCTCGACAAAGTTGGTGAGAATGAAGTTGATCGAGTCGGACAAGTTGCCCTCGGGGCCGTCACCATCTCCTGTCGGCAGGTAGTCTCTGGCCTGGCCCGAAAGGTAATATCTGAGGAACAGCCCGCGAATGGGATGTTGTACGCCCCTGCTCATATCCATCATATCTTTCATGAGTTCCTTGACAGGTGCGTCGGGGATAGACATGTAGGCGGTGCCGACGGTAATCATGAGGTACAGGCGCGGGATTATGTTGCCGGCATACTGAACGAGCTCGTACAGGTCGGCGAGATGGTTGACGGGGTGGTTCTCTCGGAGGTGAACGGAGAGGTAGCGCAAGGCGTCAAAGACGGCCATGTACAGCTCGTAGTACTGCTTCGGGCCCAGGCTGCTTGTGCGCAGCTCAGAAACTAGGGTGGAGCTGGACGAGGTGCATTGGACTGTCAGTCTCGACCATTGAAGCTTATCGGGGTATGAAGAGAAGCAGCCTAGGAGCTCCCGGGAATCCGGGAAACGGGAATGACGTACCAGCACTTGAGGGCGTCCATGAGCTTGCTCGGCGTGTCGAGACATTTGCGCATGAGGGCCGTCTGCTGGCGCACCGCGACCAGGGCATCCTCCAAGAGGCGAGCCTGGTCTTCCGGCGGCACGGGAGTCGCAGACATATCGAAGTCGAACCGGCGGGGTAGTTATCGATCGAGGCGACGTATGATGCTCAGCTGCGGCTCATTGATGGAGAGGACAAACGACAGCGTCGGAGATAATCGATTGCAGGTGAAGAAATTGCGCGATGGATGGGGACGCAGATATTGGAGGTGTGTCGTCGTCGCACGCGGCTGCGAAAAGGGTTACGAGGTAGGTCCGGGGGGGTTCGTTGGAAGGCTGACGATGGAGTCCTGTCAGGTTAGCAGTAGCTGGCTCGAGGCGAGTGCTAAGGACCGACCGGGCAGTGCTGCGGTGCGATGCGAGCTCGGTGGATTGAGCCGTGGCTGGAGAATGGCGCTGGAGTAGTGGAGTGAAGGCCAGACACTGGCTGGCGTGGACAGGAGAGTGGAGACTGTCCCCTGTGACGTGCCCGCCAGTGGGAGCTCGGAGAATCGAGCTGCCTAGATTCGTGCTTACCTTATGTAAGATATCCTTATGTAAGGCATCCTCATGAGTGAATAGAGCGATAAGATAAGCGCGAAACACGTGCTAGAGATTACGGTATCCGTACTCCGTACCTAGAAGTGCTATTCGGTAGACCAGGACCTCTCTGAGTGAGTTCAAAATGCAGTGAAATGCGGCTCGGCTACAGAGCCACTGAGTACCTAGTTCAATTCATATTTGGCAGCCGCATGTTTGTCTCTCTACCGGAAGGTCTTTTCCAGTACGGTAGACATGCTCGTTTCAAGCGAATGAGAATGTTCTCTTCTCATTGGGTTATTGAGTCCCTTACCACATTCGCGTCAACTCTGTATTCTCACTCCAGAGATGAGACTGGACAGGATGCTAGGCTGCAAATATCGGTAGGTAGCAAATATTCTATCCCGGTCGGTAGTCCAGTGCTCACGGCACGGGGCCAAGTTCCGGCCAGCGCCCCCCACCTTGGCTGCATCTGCCTGTAGATGCACTTCATTTTCTGCCTCTCAACAGAAACCAACCAAGTTGACAACTTGACAATCAATACAGGCAGAGTTAGCTCAGTCTGTTCATATGGCTCGGGTAACATCACGGTCATCACCAACGGACAAAAGTCCCTATCACATGTCATCTGTCAATTCGTCTATTCGTTTCAGTTTCTCCCATTACGTAGCTTGCTAGTGCGATGTACCCGTAAATTGAGGAAGCACCTTTGCAAATCCGTATCTTCACATCCCCCAATGATACCATGCCGTGTGCTTACTCCGTACCCATGTGCCAGTGCCGCATCATGTAGGATATGTGTGTTCATGAACCCCTTACTCCAACAAAACGCCATCCAAATCCAGATAGTACTCCGCATTCTCTCCATTTTTGCTCCATCCCCGCAATCAGTGGGCTCGTGTCCATACTCGCCCGATTTCCCGAGTGGGAAGGCCCAACAGTCTCAAGCTGTAAGAGACGCAGCCGTGGCAGGAAGCCCGCAATCCGTCTGCAAATACCCAACAAGCGCCGTATCAATTGACGCGGAAAACGCAGCAAACAGCAGCGTTGCAGTCGTTCCGGGCGCGGGGAGATGCCGTATCCTCGGCACAATCTCCAGCTTCTCAATCCCCTCGACCTTGGCCAACTCAGCGACCCACTCCATGCTATCGTGCTTAATGAGCGCCAACAGCCTCAGGTCCGAGACGCTCAGCGCCTGCGGCCCCTCCCACGCCGCCGTCGGTCTTCCGCCCTCGACAACGATGCGCAGCCTTGGTATCATCTTATCCAGCCGGCGGAGGTAGGCGCACATGGTCGCCCAGTCCAGTCTATCGCTCTCGCTATTGCAGTGCATCACAGGCCCGTCCTTGCGAATCGTGAGTTCCTGGATCGCAGAGCGGGATGATGGCGTCAAATCTTTGAGGAAGGGCACCACGGCCTCAACATCGCTACCGAAATCGAAGCCGTGAGGACGGCCGTAGAGGAGGTGGCTCGTCTCGCGGTGGATGCGGCGGTTGACGGCCATGATTTCCGGGTGCATTACGGACTTGGTGCTGGCCGGGTGGTGATGTGCGTATGTCGTCTCGAAGCATTGCCTGTGGAACGACCTCTCGATAATGCGGTACGAGGTACGGCGGTAGGTGCTCAGGGCACCGGTATGCAAATGGTACATTGCCTTGTTGCGGACGGCAAGTCTTCTTTCGCTGGCATCGTCGAGAAGGTATTCGTAGATCATGATGCGGATTTCGGCGGGGATTCGCATCAAGGGGGATTGCTCTTCATCCATCATGAAATCGTGGGGTTACGAGGTGTGGGAACTTGGGGTCGAAATCTGGGGTCGGAACTCGGGTGGGTTAGACGGGGAACAGTCCTCGGGTCAATGAAATTGTTGTCTGGATATCTGAACACAGCACAGCAGCGATCAATGCAGACAGAGAAGCATAACGGAATCGGAAGAAGAGAGAAAAGGGCGGAATTGGGAAAAACAAGAGATGGAAAGAGGGCCATCGGCTGGTCTTATGGCATCCATCGTGGACGGCAGGTGCCCCTGCGAAGGTGAGCGTGACATGTCTTTCCGAATTGGTACACCCACGCGTTCCGAGAAGGAGCCAAGGAGAGGGGTCCATCAAGGTGCCTTCTTAGTTGATGGCATTTGCACTTGTCTCTGCCCAAGTGGTCCTTCCCCCCGAGTCGGAAACATCCCATCGGCCAATGACTCTTTCTCTTCCTTTTGATGGGCAAAACTCCTTTGCAATTGCAGTTGCAGTCTTAGTTGCAGTGTGAACATCCAACCGCTGTGCCGCATGCACACGCGGAGTCCCGACCTTGGCCGTCAAGGTCCCCTTGTTGGGGATGGAGGTGTGGATCTCCCCGACCTCACCTCACCTCACTTTCCGGTACCTTAGTGCCAACTTACCTTTCCTCATAGGCCTGGCCTGGACAGTCAGAATCCCTCGTTGGAGAATGGGTGTGGGAGCTATTTCACCCTGCACAACGGGGACTCACCAATACACGAACACCTGCGCAAACCAACCGAATCAGCGTGAATGCAACTTGTACAATCAGCCCTGCAACATACAGCAAATAATATGCAATGTTCCACTGGGTGCTTACCGGCTGACTCCTCGCGAGCATGATAAGCAATCCTTCTTTCACTAGTGTAATCTACTATCAGTGCTTACCTATGGATCGTCTTGTATCGTATCTGGTTCCAACCAACGCTGCCCGCCGTCCATTACCTCGGCCCTTGTTTCGGACCAGCGCTTACGGCTCCGCAGGTCACCCGGTGTTCCACAATTTTAGGATCACGGGGACCACCGGGACACCTCCGCTTCAAGGTTCCGATGCCCTTCGGCAGCCACTTCAAAAAAAGAAAAAAATCCAGATATCCGATGTCATTCACCTCAACAACTACCTGGACTATGTCAACCTGGTGTTTCAGCAGAATTCCGTTTCTCATTCAATACCTCGAAATTAAGTGCTCAGACGCAATGCATCAATGTCTGTTGAACTCCTCAATGGAAACTTGCCATTCGAACTTGAAAACACTTCGGGTTGCGTTTCAATGCCAATTGCCAAACTGACCTGCAGTCGTGGGTAGGATTCTGCTTGCACGAGAAATCGAATATATGATGAGCAAACGCCGCCGACCACCCTTCCAAGGTCAGGTCTACGATGCGTGTGTGGACGATTGAGACGACTATATTTCTCCCACTTGTTCCAGCCCTCTGATACATGGGCAGAGATGGCCATCATTTTCTTTTCTAGATCTGAGATATGTGTCATTGATGAAAGACTTGTTTGTAGGAGGCTATCATCAGCTTGAACCCAAGGGGGACCTGGTCTCTCACGGAAATACGACTAAGAGTTGAAAAGTCCAAATACTCCGAGTGATACACTTCATTAGTGAGTATAAGGAGATTTCTAAATAGTAACTTTAAGTCTCACAGTTTCGACTACTGCATCCTCCCGTTCGTTGAGCAACCTCCAGACTCACTGAGAACTCGCCAGGGACTTGGCATACGCCCTAGTCATCCGTGACCGTTTGACCAAAGCTCCACCAAATTTTTTTGATACAAGCCTGACTTGCGCTCCCCGAGTTCCTTCAGCCTTGGTCAATTTGGGGCCTGCGTTCCCGTAGCTTCAGCTTACTCTGTAAGAGCCATCAGCTGGAAAACGGCGCTATCCTCGACTCCCGACCGTCCGGCAACTTCATCCCGCCAGACCCTGCCAAAAGTATCGTCTTCGTACCATCAACACCTAACCCCTCCTCTCCATTGACTTGATCGCCAAAGACGATTGGGACCCTCGTGAGCCCGATAGGTATCTCACTTTGATCGATGACCGGAAACTCGTGAACCCCGGATTCATCCAGTCTCTGCCATTTCTCATCAGCAAAAGAGTATTCCCGCTGCAACTCCACGTCGCTATAAGCCTTGTGCTTCGTCCCATCAGCTTTCCACCAGCAAAAGGCCGTCAGCCAGCCAGAAAATTGACTACCGATCCCGACATGCCGCTTCCACCCGAGTGACACGCCCGCGCGAAAAGGTCGCGCACGTCGTCATCCTCTGGCCGATCAAAGCTATCCACCATCATATTAACCACCACAGTGAGACAGCGCGACCACTCGAATATAGATGATCCTTCGAATCCCGCAACAGTTAGCGCGACCAGGCGCGTTGACGAAGAAGCTGAACAGGACGAGGATGGCTAGCCAGACATCATCGAGTCTTAGTTTTAGGTGTAGGTGCTTTCCCCAGGCGCGGAGGACCGTGTTCACGAATCCGTTTCTGAAGGCTACGATGGTGTCGCTATCTGCGTCGGAGATGGATGCTTGGATTGGATCTCGCCCATAATCACCATTCTCGAGAGACAGATGCTTGTAGAACTCTTGACGTGATGATGGCTTCTCTGTACATTTGCCCGCGACTACGCCGTTTGGTCGGATGACGGTTGGCATTGTCAATAACTAGGTTGAGACGGCTGTTCCAAACTTTGAGTCAAAGTTGGACGGTCTGGGGATGTGAAGAGGCGCGCGGAACTTGAGGTTGACAGGATTGTTGACGGCTCCATAGTGGGCTTGCGTACTCTTATACACAATACGGCGCGTGCGACATGACGTTGGCTGTTGGTTCCTAACTGCCAAGAGACTGATGGTGGAGCTGATATGCTCTAGACTCCTCACTGCAGCCTACTCTGGCTGGCCACCATGGACTGTGCCGCATACGCGCACGACATAAGATCTCGTGTAAATACGTGATTTGATGCTTGGAAGGATCCAATATGAAGTCGATATGTGTCTTATTGATTTTCGCCCATGCTATTTGGAGCAGCCGGGCAGCAGGACCGCGATGAACCAAAATGTACTCGAGCTTCACTTTTGACTTTACCATGCGTTGCACTCCACATACATCAGGTAAGCAGAGTGCTTATGTCACGATTTGGCTCTCGCGATAATGAATCTACGCTGTGGGCAGACAAACAACTTAATGCAAGGAATGGGAGATTGAGCTTTGGGTGTTGGATGTGAAATATTATAGCGCTATCCGTGTTGCCGCTAGGCAAGTTCTTTGAAACATAGCCCTGGTGCATTGCCAAAAGCTAAGACCAGCTAGAATCACACAAAGACCATGGAGAATTTCTCAAAGTATGAAGTAAACTCAAATCCTGTAGTTTATTTCGTTGGCATCTCTTTGTTTTAGCGTTGATAAAGCAGGGTCGATAGAGTTTGGAACGGCCGTGGAAACCGTGGGAACTGTGAGGACTTAGGCGAGAGGCCAAAGGACCATCGCTACCCCTGAACAGGACAACCTCTTGACTAAACCTAGAATCAACGTCGCAAAAATCGAATACTATATCTATCGGTCTCAAAAGGAAGGTGACTAGTCATCGTCATTTTTGGAGTGATTTACCTACACAAGAGTCTCAGGCAGGCGCAGACTCCTCAGTAAACTCCTCAGCGTAGGCCTCATAGGTATTATCGCACACTTCCATATTAATACACATTTTGTTCCGGTGTTTGTTCCAGGTGTAGGAAAAGGCTCAAACACAGATTGATTGCCAATATAAATCTTCGTACGCTACTTCATTTTATCTATATTCACTAGAGAAAACACAATTCGCCGCTCACCAGCCCCTCGTGGGCAGGCTCCTCGTCTACACGACCCCGATTTCCGTCTGGATCACAGTCATGTTGCTGACTTATCTGGCTCAAACTACAGCAGCAATCTGGCTATCCTTGAACCGATCGGCTTCTCGTTTGAGCATGAGAATACAGCTGGCGACGATGAAAGCCTCGGCATCCTTGATGGTCGTTTTCTTGTCATCCATCCACATTCCAAGGTTCATGATCAAGCGGCCGCCATTGCCGCCCATCCAGCGACTGGTGCCTTGGGTACGAAGCTCCGCGTTGCGCACAAGCTGAGCGACTGGGACGCCGTGCTTGCCTACCTTCCCATTACTAGCCAAAGCCGAGGCGGCGTCGTCGGTGCGTTCCAGAACCAGGAGCGAGGACGCTTCAGAGGCTTCCTTGCGCTCGTCGCGCCCGCCGTAGCGCCACTCGAAGGTGCCGAACGACGTCTTGAGTTCCTGTGTGCGCGATATCAAGTTACGACTTTTAACCTCGACTACCTCGCAAACGAGATGGTCCGATTCGATTGCCTCTTCCACCGTGGCAGTAGTTCCCGGGGATAGGATCCTCATCCTGGGACGCCGACCAGGGCCCCATCGGTAAATCGTTGATATCAAAGGTGTTTGGCTGGAGTCGGCCCCGCGGACGAGAGCGCAGGAGTTGGAGTTCTTTTTCAGCCGAATGGATGTGTACTCTAGCTCTCCAGAGCCGAAACGGTACACGGAGATATTTTCCAGCACGTTGCCCGTGAGGGCCTGATTCGTGTCATAGCCAATGGCATGGATGTCAAGTTGGCTAATTGTACCACTGTCGCTTGGTGACACGAAACTTCCCGAATTGACCGCTTCCTTGTAACCAGGAGGCGCGTCACCGTAGTCCGAGTTCCCAGACGAGACTGAGCTCATGATAAAGATTGAAAGTATAGGGATAATAGGGAAGCCTCGACTGCCGTGGTTTCAATAGTTTTGGATCGAGTCGTTCGACTTTTGTTTGGGAAAAGATTTGGCTACGTTGATCGCTTAGTGTTGAAGAAGTTCTGGGTGGTGATACGTCCGTTGAACTGTCTTTGACAAGTGTTTGTGAAGTTGAGGGACGTCTCGGCGTCCCTTGGCAAGTGATATATAGCAGTTCTGGGTGACAGTGACGTTGTAACAGACAGAATGAGGCTATTCCCATTTTGGCAAATGTGCTGGAGGCAGTGAGCACTACCCGGCGCTAAGCCTTAAGAGGATAATTCATGTCACTCAATGGGTGTCACAATGGCAGCCGCTAATTGGCGACCGCTGGAATCCGAATCTGTCGCAAAATGAGGTCGGTGGCGTAGCATGTGCTGCGGCGGGGCGTTTTTGGCTGGTGTCTAGACATTTCGAGGAGATCATCCAGGCGCCTCACCAACTGCCCCAGTACCTAGTATGTTACCGTACAACGCTGGCTACTTATACTTCACATCAAGGCGGTATTAATGTCTGGAAACATAAGATTGGGGGCAGAGTATTACATGTGATGGATTCATGTTGGCAGAAAATACATCAATCAACCATACGGGGACATTGAGCTGACAAATCTGTAGTTGAACCAACATTCGGACAAGATTATCGCACGAGGCGACTCGGGGCAGCGTAGATAACTTGGGTGCTTGAGTAATTTCACTTCACTCACAGGAGATGGCGCATTGTGTATAATCAACAGATCGAGGCGTATATCAGTCAAGATCCGAGTCAACTAACAAAAACCTCAAGTCGCTTCAGGAAGATTTCATAAAACCTGCTGCCCATGATATCCAGATTCCAATCTCCAACAGCCTTGATAATGTGTGAGAGGCCTCGGCAATTCCCCGTTGCGCCACCAACCTTCGCACCCTTGATAAATCAGAAGTTGCAGGTGGACGTGCTCTGCTGGCGACAGCATTGACTGAAGCCGAAGAGTCCTACTTCAAGCGCGCACTCGTGTTGCTGTTCCCATGAAATTAGTCCTGATCTCAAATCAAGAAAGTCGAGGCTCCACTGGGCAAATACTTACACCCTGCATGTTACCCTCCGAAGCCTGGCAACATCTCTCAGTCTGATCGTCCATGGGTACAACCTGGTCCTGGTCGTTGCTAACGCAGCAGTAAATCGTCTGAGCTGCGGCACTAAAATCAAAATATGTGATTAGCCATGTCGGTGTCGGATGAACCGAGATCAAGTGTAGAAGAACCTGGCAGCGAAGCAAGCGGCGATGAGGGTTGCAACACGCATTTTGACGGTGGATGATTGAATAGAGAGTTAAGTGAGTGTGATTCTAGTGAATGTGGTGATGAAGACAGAGTACTGATGGACGGCCGATGGGTGTTTTCAAGTGGCCAGTAACGGGCGAGGTTGACAGCATATTAATATCGGAATTGATACTTGTATGTCTGACAGTACCTACATACTGTAGAAAGCTCTTCTTAGAAATCTCTGCTTACGTGCACCTTTGCTCAGCCATGTAAACGAGGTTTACGAGCTTGGCGACTTTAAGCCGAAAGACCAGGCTAGATGCATCGTACCACAACGACCGACTCATGAGCTATAGTCTAGTACCTATGCGGCAGGACTTTATTAAACATCCAATACATTGTCGGGGTATACCAAGTGATCTACACTATACAATTACACGGATCATAAATAGTATCAACCGAAAGCGAAAGTCGGCCTGGCAATGACGACGTGGGTGGGGAATAAGGACTTTTAGGGTTCACCTCTTCGGGGTATTAAGATGAACCACGATATAGACTCTTGAAACCCGGTCCCTGGTAATTGAATTGTGGAACTCGCCTTGTTGCTTCAGAATTAAGGTTGGCCGAGAGTCCGACTACGTTGCCGATAAGAAATCTGACACATGAGCCAGGAATAGACTTTGGGCAAATGCCAGCACGTGAACAAGTTTTACGCACTTTCACGATTTCGCGCGTGTTTGCAGTATATGAGAATCGCCGACAAACATCTGCGGGAGCCGCCTGGGCGAAAAGCTTGCGGGCATGCGGACAGGGAATTGACCCGACTGTCGACTAAACATATGAACGAGAATCCAGAGGCCGCGGCCTTACCACGGCCCTGCCGCCGTCATTCTCAACTAAGTTGGATGCGCAGTGCCTCGAGCTAGACCATTCCTGACATGGAAGCTATATCGACATCATACGAGGCAAACCTAGTCGAGTTAATGTGCAAAGATCAACCGACGTGCATTGCTTTCTAAGGCTGAACATGCACGGAAGGTACAACGTTAGCGCCTCAAGTGTGCCACAAGACATATGCATAACACCACTATGGCACTTCTCTGGCTTAATAATAGGTTCGTCAACCTCGGGCTCGGTTCATCTCCGTCCGTTTATTTCTCCAACTAGGTAACAAACATTTACCAACTTGGGAATATCTCAAACTTGCGCGGCTTACAAGTCACAGCCCAGCACGCCCCGACAGAGTTTAGTCGCTAGTTCCTTGGCCTCTTCCTCGGTTGCGAGAAACTGACCCTCTCCCTTATCCCAAGTGAGTTCGGTTATAGTGGCATGGCGTTCATCGGTAGGTGCAGTTACGTCGCCCCCATCTGGAGCCGCCAAGACCACGTTCATGCGAAACTGTTCATCCCCAGTCCAGCTCCTGTGTAGGTGGACTACGAAGTCGCCGCGGGCGTCCGGCTTATCCGCGCGGCACATCCAGCGGTCTTCCATTTGCGATGGCTGGAAGCCTTTGAGGAGCTTCTCGGCATCGTTGCGAGAAACGCTGAGGTTCCAGTTGGTGGTGGCGGGGTTCCTCATGGTTGTTGATGTTGTGATCGGTGATTGAGTGGGTTTGAGGCTGATAGCGGGCCTTATGACAAGTCTGAGAAGAGGACACGTGGGGCTTCGAGGACGGCTAGAAGGTAGGATGTGTGAGATCTGAGATGACGAGAAGGATAAGGGTATTGCTCAATTTTGACGACTTGGGACGATGGAAGAGGGCTGATGTGGGCTTTGGAAACCTCGGAATAGACCCATCTACACCTGAGTCTTGATATACTTTTCGTTTACGCTTTAGGTAGCCAGCCCAGAGCATTGAGAACTCTGGCGGCATCATTTTCCTGTTGTGGATTACAAGGCAGTCGGAAGTTTTGCGGCAGGGCAGGATGCTTGTGCGGCCTCTGCGGGATCGGAATCGGGGGCTGAAATATGGAACACCGCTAGGGCCATCACATCAGGGGTGTTTAGGAGTATATTAAACAACACGCGCGAATTGGTATGGGCCCAGGCTTACAATATCGGGCCACGGTCTAATCCACGCAGTACTGGACATGGGGCTGGGAGATATTTGTTTTGTCATCCATGCCATAAGGCCGTCCTTTCAGCTGCGAGCGATACGTATCGTCCAGTAGCCGTCGACCTCATCCTGACCACGATCGAAGTCGTCTGATGTGACATACTGGGATAGCCATTTTCGGATAGCCCTTCAAGGCTGTCTTTAGGTGCCAAGAAACACCGCGACCGCCAAGAGCTGTCCGTATAGCTAAATACGAGACATGTCTCCGGATAGCTATGATAAGGTTTTTGGGGGTTGATCAAAATGCTAACGGCGTTGAAGCCATGTCAATAACGCAAGAGGTGGTCCATAACCGAGTGGAGGTGTAATAAATTATAAATGTTGAATTGACTTTCACAGATCTTTCCAATGTTGGCCTAGTTGGCAATCTTTTGCGATTGTGACTATAGCTTATGTCTGATGACAACTCGTCTCGTCTTGACAGAGCCAAGCTGGAGTAGAGGCTTAGACAAAAAACTTGAACGGAGTTGTCGTGTCGGCAGTTCGTCTCGGTCTCGGGATGCCCGCCATGCTCCATCCCGACTTGACGATGTTCGGCGACTAGAAGCCTGCAACTGAGATCTCAGGCACAATAATCTTTTAAGACAGAACCACTGAGGATCATAGGCAACAGGGTAAGTATAAAGATAGGATGTCTTCTCGTCAACTCACTTACATCTTATATCATCACCATCATCACACTCTTTATCAGCTCAACTACGAGCCTCGCCTCTACCTCTCATTGACTCGGCTGTTTTCCAAGCCTTGTCTTACATTCTTTTTCCTTCTTCACCAATTTGTCTGACCGTTAATGCGGTTTGTCATCGACATGATATCTCTCAACAACCTTTTTGTTGTGCTTCTTCTCCAACTATGGACTGCAGTTTGCAATGCCCAGTTCAGCGTGTGGCGCGCCGACACCAGAACTCCCACCGAGATGCGCGCCGCCGGTCTCTTCGCCCCAAGAGGAGCCAGCCAGATCCTCCAGATCGTCCCCAACGTCAGCATGTATAACCACGCCGTCGGCGCCGACAACGGTGCCAGCCGTGACAACGACGGCTACGTCTCCACCACTGCCAGCGAGACCACCGCCATCGGCTTTCTCAACAACATGTTCAGAGGCAACGGCTACGTCTACGAGATTGCGGCCGCGGCCAACTTCATCCAGGTCTCCGGCACCCTCGGCGAGTTCAGCCCGTACCCCAACGAACAAGAGTACGCGGCGCTCGGCGGCTTCAGCTGGGACCAGGTCATCCGCTGGAGACACTACACCAACGGCGTCGAGGATGGCTCGCTGGAGGATAACAGAGAGTATGAGGGCCGCATCTACAACAACCTGAGACCCACCAACACCATGCCTAGTCTTGCTGGCTTCCCCGCCGGTCACCGTGCCTGGACCTTGTCTCCCTGGAACGCGTTTGCTCAGGGTGGCGCCGGCTGCGGTGGTGGTAACGCTGCCCGCACTCTCTTCGTTCGCCAGGGTACTTGCAGCCCTAAGGAGGATGCCGAGACTGTTGCCAAGAGGTTCATCGATGAGAACTGCTGGGCCAAGTCCGACTGCGGTTAAACATCGAGGATTGGCTATACTGGTTGAGCTTTCGGTCTTAAAGGGATTATTTGACAGTAACTAGCCATGCCTCTCAAAGCAGGAATGCAGCTTGAGAACGAGGAATACCCAATCAGAGCCGAGGCCATCGAGGGATTGGATAGGAGAGGGAAGGTAAATAGTCGAGGAATAGTCTAGGGGAGGCTGCAATGTCTTTACCATTGCTGATATTGTTTGGGTGTGATTTCTTTTTCACTAGGTGTCTCTTTATTAGAAGATAGTAAAGATATACATCTATTAGAAAATCCTAGGTTTCTTCCGTGTGAGCTATTCAAGACCTCCTGAAACTGGGAGGACAGACGAACACAGATAGATTTAATCTACTCAAATAAGCACATGAACTCAACTACACATGCCTAGGTAGCTGGAAACAGACCCACTGGAAGTCCATTTTAGGTTACGAGGCTTTGTAATGTGCGGTAAAGGGTACTCAGGGCTTTGGAATTGCCCATGAGCTTTGCGGCAGAAAACGGGCTGACTTATAAAGGGCAACCTTGGCTTTAAGCGACGGACCTCTTGGGTCATACAGGTAGAAAAAAAAGGCTTTGGTGTGAATTTAGGCTCAAGGTTCGAATTCTTATGATCGCATAGCATTTAGAATGGGTTGGCCATGGATTGGAAAGGTCTGCCGCTTCGAACTTCCAGTCGATGTTAAGTCAGGCTATCTAGGAAAACGAGACATTGAAACTGCCGTAATCAAGAAGAGAAGATACTTGAGTTGTTGAATCAGAGACTTGAAACCCTCAATTTGTAGCTATACAGGAAAGACAATGGAATACTCTTCGGAGCACACCCCGCAACCATATTTATCCAAGGTGTGTTCACTCTTTCATCTGTCAAACTTCCCTTCTCATTCAGGGAAGATTCGCAGAAGTTCTACACACATTAAAGGGCTTTATTGGCCATTCAATGCGACAAATACAGCCCAAGGGATGCAAACCCAAGACCTATCCCAAACAGTAACTTGAACTTCCTTATGCTATTGTTATCTTGAGGCCGGGACACATGTGTTAGCGGGCATCACGATGGATGTGGCCCTTGTGAATCTCAACCTAGGTCACCATCTTAGTAGTTTTGATCATACGGCTTTGATTCACAAAAAGCATTGTGGTCACAGAGGAACAGCACTAGCGACTGAGAAAGCCTTTGTTGATAACTCAATGTAGTGAATTCTGTCGATGTGTGATTATCCTCAAGGTCTTCAGTCCACCTTGCCGTACCCAGCCAAACTCGGCCCAGGTCTCGAAGAACTTCAGGAAAACCCGATTTCTCTGTGGCGATGAGACGATCTTTCCAAGTTTAGAAGCAACCTGCTCACAATCCAAGTGAAGTATGTGTAAAGCCTGAACCTCCTCGGTATCTCCTTCCCTTAAATCTGGCCATCCATGGTAACAGGGTTCTCCAGCTTCGGCTTGATATCCTCGGAAGTGGTATCCGCCAGCTCCTCCTTGACCTTGGCAATACGAGCCTTCTTCTTGGAAGGCGTATCCTGCTCCTCGGCATTCTCGCCATCCTCCTCGTCGGAAGGCGCCTTCTTCTTCGGGGTGCGCTTGACACGGGGCTTCTTGACCGGGGTGCTGCCGTCGTTGCCAGCGGTAGAAGAGCCCTCGCCAGTGGCAGAGGGGCCACCAGGGCCGGTGAACCAGGTAGGGTGCTGTTTGACGGCAGTAGCGACGCGAGTGCGAGCGGCGTTGGCGCTGGCGGAGCCGAGCTTGACGGCGAGGGCGTCGTAATCAATGGAAGGGCGGTTCATGATCTCCATCATGGCGAACATGAGCTTGATCTCAGAGTCAGTAAGGTCAAGACCACCGGCGGCAGCACCGGCATCGGAGTTCTTCTTGGGAGGCATGGCTGTCCGTCTGAGGATGATGTTAGCTACCGGGCAGAGAGCTCGTGAATTACAGACAAAGGGAGGGACTAACAGTGGTAATGTATGTACTAGCTGTACTAATGAATGAGGTGAACAGAGCTGGTGAAGTAATAGTGTGAAAGGCACAGTGAGTATGATGTATTGGATTAAAGAAAGAGGAAAAGTTTGGTGAGAGGGAGAAGAAGCCTTTTTGTATGCGAGCGAAGAGAAGAAAGGTCAAAGGGGCACCGCACCGGTCGTGAGCAGGGCAGCAAATGTAAGGAACATCTACAATTAACCAAGGCAGGTAGGCGCACCTTAAATTCACGAATGGAAGGAACATCCCACATGGCTTTATTCTCGGGTAGGCAGGCGCAGCTTTGAAGACCTTCCGCGAAATTGTATTCAATTATTCAGGCTACCTTATAGGAAAACACCATGACTGTTCCTATCGGGAAAGTAGCGAGATAGACTAGAAGGCGCAAGCAACGAGTCTAAGCCTACATATTGGGGGTTTTTGGTCTCTGATTTAACAACTCAAAACTCTTTCCTTTGTTGCGACAGTTGCAATGCCTCGTTTTTTCTAGTCACTTCCACTACCTTTTTATACATATCGCTTGTTTCTTCAGGTGAACTTCCTCTAAAGCTCTATCCGCATGATGTTTGGCCTAGATTCACCACTCTATCCTCAAAGGTCAATCCACCCAGACCTTGATCTAGGTACAAGCAAAAGTATCCCATATCATAATAAGGTTTGAGAGTATATTGGCTTGCCTTTGAATCGAATAAGATTCAGAATGAAGACTGACGAGAAATTACAGAAAAACTTTTATCATCACAATATTTCGTCACCATTGCAAGCTGAGAACTAGTCTGCCCTGCTTCGACGAGCATGTAAGGCCAAGCACGATGGATCGAACTACGGAGAAATTGAAACGATAGAGGAGAGAAAGGATGATGAGGGAATGGCTTTGCGCATGGGATTCACTTCGCCATCCCCTCATGAAAATCTTTCCTCGACATGTCAAAATTCTGATTTATGATGCGGACCTGAGAGTTGATCTAGCAGCCTCTGGGACCAGATGTGATGATAAGATGGAGAGACTGGAAGACACCAAATGATACCCTACGACAAGATCACTGATTCTGGGCGGAATATTGAGGTTACGATATGTCGTCGCGGCTGCAATGCCCCGTGCCCCTCGCGCGAGGGTCCTCAAGCTTTTACAAGCAACCAATGACACGTCCCCTTGTTGGCTAAGTGGTATAGCGTCTCACTAGTACCTAGTGACATGAGAAGATCGGCGGTTCGATTCCGCCACGAGGCATCCTTTTTGCCTTTGAGAGATGTCCGATGGAGATGACCTGGGTTTTGGGTGTTTGTTGATTCACAGCACCTTTTGGGGATTTTTTTCTTGCTTTCCCATCCGTTGTTGCTTGCGCGTGTAACTTTTGCAGGACCTGCCATCTCATTCGGAGACTGCGTGAGTTTCGCCTGGTAGGGCTGCCCGGCCGCATGCACATTCCACCCACCCATCATCCATCATCCAGGAACGTGGCCGCTTGTCACACACGTCGCATGAAAGTCTAGACAAGGACAGCTCCTGTCCTGCTCCATTATCCAGTTGAACGAAAATGGAATTGACACAGCCTTGTAGGTTTGCCATGTCCAATTCGTCCACAACCGCAGGACTCCAGCAAGGTCCAGCCAGCATGAGCCCCCAGGGGTGCCGATGGAGAAGAGCAGCAGAACTGAGAAAGCCACGGGACGAAAAGCCGAGCTGGTCGCATGGCGGCTGTGCAGAACTGACAGAAACTCCATCCGCAAAACCCCATTGAAAAAAAGGTCTCAGGGATTGACCGCTGCGCCCCTCCAGAAGAAAGTGGGCAGAAAAACACTGAGACAGAAAGGAAAGTCAAGCTGAGTCTGGCCTGGCGTGGCCCCCCACCTCCTGAGAAATCCATCACCCCTGTTCTTCCCAATTGGGTTGACGGATGGGGTGTCAAAAGTATTGGATGATCCACGGGGGAGGGACAGAGTTCAATAGCTTTTGAAGTTTGGCGTGCCTTGCATATCCTGGGTATGAGAGTGTGGCTGCGAGACAGGAGTAGGGTCACACGGCATCATATAAGAGCGTGCTGTGCATGCGGTATTCACTCTTTCTCCATCCAGATTTCATAAGTGCGGCTGTTATTATGAAATACTCGCTTCCGAAGCCGTGGGAATCGGGATCATTCTTTACGCGATTTGGCGAAGCATTGGGTCCGGCCCCGGCCCAAAATTCGATTCCGCTCACGGGCCTGGGGATGGCATCATGGCCGTTACGTTGGCTTGGCCGCTTAGCCACGTTTCCGATTTCTCACAGTTCCAGATTTCTCCATCCGCCAATTGACACTCTCACGAATACTTGAAGAGTTCCCTAGGCAGAATAAAACGGCACTGTTGGAAATTCACAGAAGGCCGACGGAGTGACCCGAGCAGAGAATCAGAAACTCGCTGGGATGAAGGGTGGTCTTCATCTGTTAGCGTTTTATTAACGTTACATTGAATTTCACGTGCCTACCACGCCTACAACCACGATCCAGTTTCTGTAGTCGGCCAATTGGCCAAATCTTGGTAAGGTTGATGAACCGTCTGCGGATTAGTGATTCTCGGCACACCGGCCGACGTTGCTATCGGTCAAGGACCGTCTTGTGCCAGTTGTACTCCGTACACTAGACAGCGGTTCCATACGCCACCTGACGTCAAGTATGGTCTTGTTCTTCGCTGTCTCGGGTCAATGGCACAATTAGGTAGGTGGTGAAGTGAGAATCTAAGAAGTTTGAACCCAGAAAAGGGCAGAAAATCAAACCACCAGTGACCACTACGCGGGAAACCTCGTATCCATCGCATTCTCTCGCCGATCTGAACCATTTGCAAGCAAATCAAGCAACCACTCGCACAACAAGCGCGGGCGACTAGCGGTTAGCGGCACCTCGAGTCTTTATCTCGGCTAGCACCAGACTTGCCAGTTTGACATGGACAACAGCGAACAACACTGGGAATCCAGAACATTATTACGACACTTATGACGGTGGTGGAGCCGTCCCCTGATCGCCCCCGATTATGACTCGCGCTCGGAGCGCGCGCCCGCCCAGAGAGGAAGGCCTCCCAAAGACCAAGAATTGGAATTGGGCCAGTTTTTTCTCTTGCTTCAGACCCTCTCTACTCTCTACGGACTAGTTCACTACAGTACTGCCATCCGTAGCAAGGAGGGGGTGGGCTGGTCCCCGTCCCGAAACCCTTGGTGTCCCCGGCCATCGGATAGCTGGGAACTCTGTCCAAGACGTGTGTCCAGGTAGTGTACGGAGTCATATTTTGCTGTTTACTCTTTGGGAATCTGTGCTCCTGTTTTTCTGCCAATTTACCATCTTAACTTTACTGCCCTACCTATTCGGTCGAACTTGGACTCTTCTTCACCGTTGATCCAAATTTCACGAGTATTGCGTCTTGGAAGATCTCCCGCCCGCGTTCTTCAAGACTTGTTGATATCCCACTGGGCGGCCCACCAAACGTTGCTCGCTGCCCCGACGGACCCTTCGATTTCGGGGATTTTGGGGAACAGCTACGGGACCATCCCACGAGGCCAAGAACACAGCACCGGTTCTGCACTCGTTTTGCGATCTGGACTTCGTACTCAGGGCAGGATATGGACTAAAAGGGGTTGAACTCGAAAAGGATTCGAAAGCACCAGAGCAAACAGTCAAGGCAGTCTTTATCTTGGATTGACTTTTAGTTCAATCTTCTTACAGAAAGTAAGAAAGACAGCAGTAATCGGTCTGCTGCTATTCTCAGCGCGTGGAGAGGCCCTAGATTTCCCTCCAATATAAACGAAAGATACTCAAATGACGACGACATCCGACCCGAATCCAATGACAACCCAACGCGGCGCCGCGCCGCTGACGACCGTCTTTACGACGCCAGACTTTTGCAATTCCCTCTACTGGACAAACACAATCACACCGCCCCTCTCGAGCGTGGTATGCATGCCGACTTCATGGCACCAGGTCAACGACTACAGCTGGGGTTACTACTCCCCCGGCATCTGCCCGACGGGCTACACCGAAGGCTGCGCGTTCCCGACCTCACTCGCGACATCAAAGGACGGCGCCGTCGGCATGGGCGGGCCCGTCACCGTCGGCGAGACGCCACGGCTGTGCTGTCCGACGGGGTATGTTTGTTATACCGACACCAAGAGCTACGGGTACAGCAAGTGCATCTCGACGATCCCGACCACGTCGTTTTATAATAGCGATAACCAGCCTACCTCGCAGCTGGCGCTGGTGTATGCGGTGCAGGTGCGGTGGGCGAGTTCGGATTTGAGTATTTTGGAGACGGACCCGACGGTGCCGGGGGCGACGTTTACGGGGGCTACGGCGACGGGGTCTGGAGGGGAGACGGTTGCGACGACGGGGACGGGCGCGCAGACGGGGAGTAATTCGATTGCGACGGCGACAGCGACGAGTACAGACGGGGCGGATACCGGGTCATCAGACGGAGGGGGAGGGGGTATCTCTGTCGGCACGACGATTGCGATTGCGGTTGGATCCGTAGCAGGGACGCTTGTGCTGGCGCTGTTGGCGTTCGTCCTCCTCTGGCGACGACGCAAGAGACGACACGCACAAAAGTTGGCGGCGGCGGGAGAGAACGGCGGCGGCGCAGACAGCGACTCGAAATCAGACTCCGTGGCGCCGACGATGGCACATAAAGCGCCCGTGGGGAAATCGTCTCTGGATATCATGTCACCCAGCACGGCGAGGCCTGGGACGGGGACGACTGTCGTGGGCGACGAGGCGCTGCACTCGCCGCGGTCGCCGACGACGACGGCGCAGCTTGACTCGACGACGGTGATGGAGATGGAGACGATGGAGAGGCCGCAGGAGTTGCCTGATACCAATGAGGTGTTCGAGATGGAGGGCGATATGCCGGGCCCGCCTTTGTATCGGGAGAAGGAGGGGTGGCCTCTTAGGTGAAGGGAGTTTGAGAGTTGAAGACGTTGAAGACTTTGTTTGCGCCATCTACCAGCGATGTGTATCTGTTACCATCTTGTCTGTCAGGATATACCTATTGTGGTTTACTGTGTTGATTTTCTTGCAGCGCCGGAGTTCATGTAGGGTTGGGTTATGGGAAGCTCTCGGCCCGCCTCAGTCGGTTCCTTGAAGGGCCTTGGAGGAGCAATACTCTAGAGAGCGTTATTTTGCAAATACTGCAATAAATATAATTGAAATCAATTCTACAATATGATGGGCTACATGATAACCTGTCGACACTCGGACGCTACAATTGTTCACGCGACGGCACGATGTTTTAGCGTCTATACAACTGGTAGGACAGAGTGGCGTCTAACAGCAAGACCTGTGAGCCTTCATGTCTGTTCGAAAATGAAGGTTCCTAAACAATCATACATCGATGCGGCATCGCCTTTTTTATCGAATCTTACGTCTTCTACTTATAGACCTTTCCTCGCCTCATGCATCTGGAAAACATTCACAGCCACGCCACTGATTCGAAGTGGCTTCCGTCGCTCTACCTCTTCTCAAGTTAGAAGCTTGGAGACTTGGAGAACCAGAGCAGAGCTGCGACGGGTCTCGACGCCGATTTCCAAAAAGCGTAACTATGCCCAGTGCACATGAAGAACCAATGTTCTTAAACACGAAAACTAGATGACTGTGATAATGCTGGCTTCACAGATGAGCACTTTATTCAAAAGTGTAGGACATTCCCTGATCAACTGCAGTCAACTCCTGACTATACCATTCGTTACTTCAGCTACCTAGGCACACTCTCACGCCTGATGTCCAATGATAAGCACCTCTCGCCCTCACTCATCAGCCGCTTGCAGCGACACCAACAACATCGGATTATTCCCGAAGTCTAGATCCTTCGCCCCGGCCGTTCATCCAGGCAGCGGTGCCCGTTTAGGACCGCTCAAGCCTACATTCCAGGCTACCGGCCGCACTAAGATGCTTCTCCCTCCCCACGTCTCGGCGTGCCCCTGTCTCAATTCACCTCGCTCATTCGGCGGAGGCCAAAGGGCTGTAACAGGCAGAAATGGCGGGGCTTGTAGGATTCTCGTTCCAACATCCAACATTTGATGTTGGTGTTGGACGGCGCTGACGGATATAAATGAGTGTCTTTGGCTCAATCTCACGTTTTCGTGGTTTACTTTTCATTTTCGACGTACTTGTGCTTCATCTCACTTCGTACCGTTGATAAAAGTCGTCAAAATGTCTCGGCGATCCGCAGAAACGATGAATATCCCGCGGGGTGTCGACGTCGTGAACCCCAATTACATACATCCGCATCTCGTCATGATCGGTGAGTACCACTGATTTATTATGAGACTGTTCTCACATACCATGTTCGACACCTTACTACGCAACAATCTTACTCACCTTTACGCCCCTAGCCGACGTCAACGCCCTCCCGCTTGACCTCATAACCCAATTTTCCTTCCTCCTCATGGGAACAGGCCATCTCTTCAGTGGCAAATCCTCAACACGGTCACCATCACCACCAGAAGACGAAGACGAAAAGACGCTCTGCGCACGCCCCTACAACGACTGGGCTCCGGCACCCTACAACAACTGCAGCATCCGCGCAGACTCCTTCCTGAACAGAGCCATGACCGCCGTCTCCGGCTTCGGCGACATGCTCGAGATCGTCACCTCCACCAGCACGGAGTGCGATCGCGACTTGCACTACCTGAAGACCCGTCTTCTCTGCGGCGCGCCGCCCATGTCAATTGCAAGGTGGCGCCAGAGGGGTCTACATGAGCTGGATAATATTCAGCGCGCGTGTCAGCATCTTTGTGCTGTGGTGGATGCATTTGAGTATCTCAACCTCCCGCATAACGAGGCGCGGATGCGGAAGGCGTGTAACAGTGTTTGGAATGCGGGTCACGACTTTGAGAAGGCTCTCAATGCGTACCGGAGGCAAAAGGGGCGTGGAAGCCCAGTGTCTGTGACGGCGCTCTGGGAGGAGTACATCGTGGACTTCTTCGATACTGTGGCCGCGAGGGCGCATGCGTGGGTGATGGCGCGGATAGGCGAACTCAAAGAGGCGCTTCTCCTCCAGCTGCGGCAGACCACACCCGTGTCCGACGGCCCGGCGTCCGCGGCGCAGATGGAGATCTTGGACCGATTCCACGATCTTACTGAGATAACGAACAAGGCAGACACGAAGATCATGGTGCCGTTGTGGGGGTATACCCTCCGCACTCTCACCTCTGCGGCGCCAAGGCTGAGAGATGATTGGAATGGGTATGACGGGCGGGAGGCGATGAAAGCGTATCCGTATGATATGCGGTTCCGGTCGAGGATCTACGGGATCCGGTGCCGGTATCTCAGTCGGGCTGCGCAGGTGCAGCGCGCGATGGAGAATGTGAGGCTGGGGAGGGAAGTGCTGCCCATGTCGGATCCGACGGGGTTGGAGGCGACGTGTCGGGCGCAGATGAGGGAGTATGAACAGGCGAGGAGGGAGTTGCGAGGGGTGGTGCCAGAGGTGGGTGATGAGCCGTGGATTGCTGGTGTGAAGGGGATTATGAGGACGGCTGCCCATCGACCGTTCAGGGTTTGGGGGTTTATTGGGTATCGTGTGTCGTATGAGCATTCTGATGAGGAGTGGAAGGCGTTTCTGGGGAAGTTTAGGGATGATGTTACGGCGTGGGGGGAGGGTGTTGATGGGGCCGGTGACTTGAAGCCTATGTGCAAGTTGCGGTGGATCGATGGGCGGGAGCATGGGATTCCCGAGGGGGACATCGAGGCGGCGAAGAGGTAAGTTTACTCATTGATTAGGAGTGTGATACGGGATCGGCTAACGGATATTTGCCAGGCATTATGGAGAGTACTCCAAGTCCCCGGCATGCGAGGGCTTCATGACACTCAGCGGAGGCGTCTTCCTAGTCGCGGACAAGGCGTCTATCGATTCATACTTGCACCCAGTCAAAGATGATGCGGAACCGATCATCCCACACGGCGACCTGGGACCTTTCGTTCTGGTAGCCAAGCCGGATGACGAGGATAGGGAGGATAGGGCTTCATCATCGAGGGGCAGGGGGCCGCATCGAGATGTGGATGCAGCTGGAAGACCGACGATGAGGCGGGAGGAGACGTTCGACGGCACTGTAAGAGTGCTCGGGGCGGTCTTGTTCGACGATGTTTGGGCGCTGTTGTCACGGAACTCTGTGAAGCTGCCGGATTTGGCACAGATGGCGCAGGTTCACCCAAGGCAGGTTTACGTTGGGCCGAATGTGCCGTTGGAGAGGGACGGGTGGCGGACGGCGGGTGAAATGGGGTTGGTGGTGTTTAATTCTTTGGAAAAGTGGAAGAATTCGTGAGGGTGTCTTGAATACATCTGTGATTGTATGCGATGATGAGTTGCAATGAGAAGACTTCCGTGGCCGCTCAGCGGCAAAATCCTCCACAGTGACGAGGCGATTCAGAACTCGCTGGACAAGTTTTGAGGGTACCTAGTCTCTAGAGGTGGACGAGAGGTTCGTAAGGTAAATCTTGTCACAAGGAGGCTAAGAGTCTCTTCACGGCCTTGTATTTAACTTAACCCTTTGTTATTATTCAATACTTAAAGAACTAATTCTAGGCCTGGCTTTTGTTGACAAGCCTACTCGTCGATACTTGGTCCAACAAGCTGAACTCCAAGAGTTTAGGAAGGCTTTCAGCCTCTGAAAGTCGCAATACTCCATTAACACATACTTGATCCCTCCTTCGCCCGTCCATCCTTCATCATGCCTATTTCACTGATCCCCCGAAGATCTTGATTGTGACGATCTTGATTGTGAAGATCTAGAACCTGAGGAGCTGGGCGGTGAAGCGTCCTGTGTCGGTGCCAAATCTAACCAAGTTGCTGGATCTATTGCAGGATTTGCAGTATTATAGTCGTCCTGATACTGTTTATACCTCCTTTGGCATTGCGACTGAAGACTGATTATAGTATCCCATGCCTTCTTCTGACGTTTAAACCTCTCAGCCCGCTCGAGGCGATCTGCCTCGTTTCTTGGTCGTTTGAGTGATTTCAAATCAGGAGGAATTGACCCAGTTGGTGTATCCAGAACGATCGGATTATCAAGATTGATCCCCATTCCTTGAACGGCCAGCTGAGCCATCTTGTAGTCATCTATTAGCTTTGAAGAGGCTTTTGCTGCGGTAGCTACAATGTTTTGCCTGGACCTTTCGATGTTTTTTCTTCGAATCTCAGAGTTTTGCTCCTCCTGAGCTGCATTCCTTTCTGCTTCCTCTCTGATCCGCCATCTGTCGTCCGCAAGCGCAGGAACGCCTGATCTGTCAAAAAACTCGTCGATGCATGAATCAATGATATTCTGGAGAATTGGAATTTGCTCTGTCATGCTTGGGGGAACTGCTGTGGGCACGTCCAGCCGATCTTGTCGTAGAAGAGTTCGCAAGGCACCCCAACGCCCACAAGATGCTATCTCTTGGATCGGCGCGTGCAGCAACTTGTTCCGATTGGCATACATTTCGATGCTGCCTAGCATCGTTGCGAAGCAGAAGCCTCCGTTCTTGCAGGCTGCGTAGACGGCTAATGTCGTAGCCACGTCGTCCTCATCGACTTTCTTGTCGCCCAGACTGAACTTCTCGTACAGGTGCTTCTCTGCTTTTAGGTCTTCTTGGATTTCGGTCCAGTAACGATTCCAGCCCTGGAGCTGCTCAAAATTCTTGGTGCGGAATGTCTGAGCATGCATCTTCAGCTTTTTACAAAGAATCGCCTGGTATTCGCCATATCTTGCTGCAAATTCATATTGGCGAAGCTCGGTTAAACGTCCCACCAGCGTTGCTTGTGCCGTGTCCCGCGGGCCTTTGAGTAATCTTCTGGTGTAGATATTGTGCTCATAAGTCTGCACTTGCGCGAGCAACTTCTCCTTCTCCTCTTCACCGTCGTAATCTTGTTCCAGGACCGCTTTCAGAGTCGTTTTGTAAATATTCAAACAGTGCCCAGTAATGGGAGAGACTTTTCTCTGCGTCTGCCGGAGAGTTTGATCTGCGAAAGATAAGCCCTGTCTTAAGCGTTGGTCGTTATATGCCGAAAGCAGGTGGGGAGGCTCCGGGACAACGGGCTCCATACTAGCAACTTCGACATAATCATCCCCGAGAAGGACTTTGGTGGAAGACCGGGTGCGAGTGAGAAAGCGCGAGAAGCTCATCTTGAGTAAGGAATTCGGGCTTTGGATGATATGTTGAAGTGAAGGAAAACAGCGAAATCAATCAATCAACGAATATGTCGATGGTGGATGGAAAGAAGTTGTGTAAGAGAGATTGAGATTCGATGGGGACATCATATTTAGTCGCCACGCCCTTTCTCCGAAAGCCAGTTCGTCGACGATAGAGTTCAAAACAAAAGTAACAAAAGTAAAAGTGCCACCTTCGACCTCTATGGCCGACCTCTGGCGTAGACCTTTCCGGCCTGCGCCACTAGATGGGTCGCGGTATGAGCCAGGTAATCATCGTAGCGCTTCACTAAGTTAAGCAATGAAGTCCGGTACGCAGGATCAAGGCCAATGAGTGAACACGAGGCAATAGACAGTTCGCCCGTGAGGGGGAGGCAAATAACATCCAGATTTCATATTTCGTGAGTCAATGTGAGTGGCATTAAAATGCTTAGGCGGACCTCCGCAATCAGGCGACACGAGGGGCGCTGAGCGGCGGGGAAGATTCCTGGACGGTGGCGGTAACCACACTCATTTTCAACATCGACGACAGCTTCGTTTGTCTTTACACTCTCATAAGCTCCCGTATACACGATTGAGATCTAGATGCTTTCGATTGAAGGCATAGTAGACACCTCCAACCAAACTCGAGAACATGAACCGCACAGTTAGAACAGACCAATAAGCTGAGAATCCTTCCCGGCGCTTGTGTGGGATGGCCAATTTTAGGACGCGAGGAACTCCGCTGCAGCACAGCCCCCGAGCTGAAGCTGACTGAGACCCTACCACCAATAACACAGATAGAAACTCAGCGAAGATCGTCCATCTCCTTTGGAACAAAACCCATCAGTTTCCCTGGCGAGAAGCGTTTTTGATTCCTGGTGTTGTTACCTGTAACAGCTACGTCGCCGGCAGCCAAGCGTAGATCTCGACGACACAAGGTCTACGGTTGAGATAGAACAGTCGCAGAAATGGATCATTCACCAGCAGATCCATTATCGCCTGGTTCGCGGCACCTCATGCGACCGGTACTACTCGTGCTGGCGTTCTTCTTCGCGCTCTTCGTCGCTCTCGTCCAGATCCTCACTCTCACGGCCGGCACCTGGGTAGTTCGCGACAGCAACGGAGCTCAACATCTCGGCCTATCGAGCCTCGCTATAGTGAAGGTAAGCAAAAGTCTCTTCCAAGACCTGTCACGACAATCCCGCGAACGTGGAGCTAACCTCACAAACTCACAGTTCGACGGCATCATCCCGTCGGATACCAACCCAAACACCTACCTCGTAACAATGCACCAATTCGCCGCCTCCTTCGCCTACACCTACCCATCCAAATCCCTCGCAGGCACCCTCGACTCATCCCCCCATCTCCCCTACGATCTTGGCGCCGTCGCCCACGCCCTACGCCTCCCCGAATCTGAATGGGCATGCTACCACTACGCCCAAGACGCCTGCGTCAACAACCCTTTCCTAAGCGCCTTCCGCAACTCATGGCTCATCCTGCCCACCGCGACAGCCAACATCGCCCTCATCTACGGGCTCGTGGTAGTATCCTACCTCTTCATCACGGAGCTACTCATCGCCGTACGGCCGAGCTGGCTGCGGTGCCAGTGCTACTTCTCCTGCATCAAGCGCGTGTGTCCGTGTCCGCGCGGGACGAGGGCGGAGATTGAGGCACTACCGGCCGGGTTTTGGGATCGGTATCGCGGGTGGTGCTGGTTTATGTTGCCGGCTGCTGCGTTTTTGCCGGCGTTTACGTTGGGGATGAATGGGATGCTGCTGAAGGAGTATGTTAATCGGCCTAGGGGCCTGGAGGGAGATGTGAATGGGAGGTTTGGGACGGGCTATGTGGTTTTGCAGGCGCTTTGTTTGGGGGCTTCGATTGCGGGGGCTGGGTGTATGGTGTTGAGGAGGCGTTTGGGGAGGAAGAGAAGTTGGATGGAGGAGCAGGGTGTTGGGTTGAAGAGAGGGGCGTAAGTTCGCGATCTTCGAAACTCGAAGGTGAAGAGAGATATAGAGGAATGGACAACTTCCGAGTGAATGAGAATTTTGAAGCTCTGATCCGATCCGATGCCGCGCCGGTCCGGGAGAGAAACCAGAGTTCTTAGGTGGAGTGAGGAGCCGGCAACCCGCAACATGTCCACTTAAAGCCGGCGATGTGACGCTCGGCACCGCTCCGCTGCGTCAGATCCGATCTGATCTGATCTCAGCCATGTAGTGAGCATTGAGTTACCTTGTCACGCTTGTGTGCGTGTATGCTTGTGTGCCTCTCAAGTTGTCACTCAGAGGAAATCGCACCAGTCCAATTCGCATCAAGCCTCGTCTCCAGCTCACAGATGAAAATGTCTCACTAGCTCGCCATTCTCTGGAGAACGGGATGGGACTAAGCCCCATTGACGAATCATGGCCTCATCATTCATGTTTGGTCCCTGCCGATCGGCTGTGGAATGTCTGCTGGTCTCCGCAAGCGCGGACCGCTTGCACCACATGCTGATGTCATTACCCGCATGAGAAGCTGTCATCGATTTACGCCTCGCATGAGACAACATTGCGCGAAAGAGACAGTGAGAAGCCTACGTTAAGCGGGTTAGCTCATCTCGCGGATGATGCCATGGACTCGTCACAGGCAGTTGATTAAAACAAAGCCGGGCTCTGAGCTTGGTAGTCATCAGGTTTGGAGCTTGCATTCCTACTCTGACCACATACTTTGCATTATTTTACATCAACATACTGGCGACGGATCTCTACCACAAACCTACTTCATATCCCAAATTGAATACTTGTTGATCTCTTCAAAACCAAGAATACAGTCGTCAAAATGTCCCGCCAAAACTATGCAGTCCCCCTCATGGGCGCAGCAGCTCTCCTGGGAGGCGGTATCTACTACGTCCGCCAACCCTCCTCAAATCCAGGCGACGCCTCTCAACAGATCGCAAACAACGCAGACAACTCCCGCCCCACCTCCGATGCCGTCACCGAGCAGCGTAAAAAGGCCGCGGACGCGAAACGCGACAACGGCCTAGGCGGCGCAGGCATTGGCACCAACACGGGCGCCACGGGCGGCGCAGAGCTGAGTACCGGCAACCGAGGCGGCAGTGCCGCCGACCGCGATACCCCCAAGGGGCCAAAGGACAAGTTTCCCTCTGACGCGGGCGAAATCGGAGGCGGACCTGGTAGGGGCAACTCAAATACTAGGGCGATTGAAACGCATGGTCCTTCTATGACGCCTGGGTCGAAGACGTTGACGGGGGCATTGAGTGGGAAGAGTAACGGGCCGAGTACTTCTGGAAGCAGTGATAGCAGCAGTTCGGGAGAGGGAATAGGATCCAAGATACAAGGCTTCTTTACCAGTTCGAGTAAAGGAAACGAGAAGGTCAGGCAGTCTCCGGTCGACACCAAGATTGTAAGCCATTCGCCTGATACTCCGACAAACCGTGGTGGGAGTCCTTGGGATAAAGAGCGAAGGGATGTGGTCAACCACAACCGCTCATGAGCTTAATAAGATCACAACTCATTTGTAAATCATCAGTATTAAGGATGGGGTCGTCTTTTGATCTCAAAACTTCATCGTCTCAGAACTTTGCACCAAGCTTCTTCTCATGCTCCATCTGCTGCTCATCCACCATTATAACAGCCTTACCGCTCATCTTCCCCGTATGCACAAGCTCAACAAGCTCGTGAATCTTGTCCAACCCATGAAAAACATTCGTCTTGAGAGTGATCCCGTTCTTCGCAACATGCTCCATCAAACCCACACTCTCCTCCCTCGAACACAATAGACTGCCCTTAACCCTCACATCCCGAAACACCAACTCCTGGAACGGGATCTTCACCTCGTCAGGCTGCGCAATCTGCACCACAGTCCCATGCATCCTTGTCACCGCGCAGGCCAGCCCCGCAGCAGAGTCCGCATCAGACAAGTTGAGCGTGGCATCTACACCCTCCCCGTCATGCGCGGCATCCTTCGCCTCCTTCACGACATCCTCTTTTCCCCTTCTCGCATCAAGAACAACATCCGCGCCGCTGCTTTTCGTCAATTCTAATCCTTCATCCCTCGCATCGATACCAATGACACGCAAACCCAGAGCCTTGGCCATTTGGATCCCCAAATGGCCCAACCCGCCTCCTGACCCAACGACAGCAAGCCACTGGCCTTTCTTCAGCCCGGCCTGCACCACGCCCCTCCAGACCGTCCTCCCAGCACACGCCAGCGGCGCAGCACTGAGAAACGAGATGGCATCTGGAATTGGCACGGTAGACCGCGCGTCAACCTTGACATACTCCGCAAAGCACCCGTCAACATGAACCCCGACGTGGCCTTCGATGCGACTGCAGTACTGCCGAAAGGTCTCCGGCGCGGAAGTACAGTCGAAGCAGGAACCACAAGGATGGAGCGGGAGACCGCACATGACTCTGTCGCCAACTTTGAAGTTGAAGTCCGGGGACGCGGCCGAGCCGACGGCGACGACGGTGCCGGAGCCTTCGTGGGACGCGGTGCAGGGGAGGGATGTGTTGAAGGTGCCGGCGGAGACCATGCTGTCTGTGTGGCAGTAGGATGCGACTGCTATCTTGACGAGGAGGTCATGAGGCGCCAAGGAGGTTAGTGAGGGTACGGGTATGGTTTGAATCTTGTAGGGGCTGTTGAAGGATGTTACGCGGATTGCCTTCATTGTTTTCGGGATCTCTGTGGTGGCCATCTTTGCGAGTTGGGTGATTGAGGCTTGACTGAGATTTTGGAATCTTGGGTAGTGACAATGGCTTGTCGTTCGTTTCGTGGGCAAGTAGATGCGCTTTCTTGCTGAGGAAGTTTTGGGTTAAGATAGCATGGTGTTGTCGAAGATGTGATGACGTCGAAACCTTGAAATGGTCTGTTTAGCTTCCCCCGCCGGATCCAAGGCGGTCCGAGGCCGACTATCCTGGGCTAGGATTTCGGATCCGATGGTTCACCATGGATCTGCCGAGTTTGATCTTCCTGGAGAAGGCGACGTCGTAACCTTAAATCTTCTGGACTATGCAACGATGTAACATCATGTCGTCGGCCTCGTGCGGATAGTCAGAGGCTCTGATAACATTGCCGTTCGTGGAGTGCCGAGAGATTCAGAGACTGCCTATCCATCGGGTCCCATGTTGATAATGAATGCCGTCAACTGTGAGTCACCTCAATGCGCCCGGAACTCAATTGATACCAATTGAGCGTCTCGTCAGACAAAGGCAGTACAGGGGCATGTCAACGGTTGTCAGGCAACTGCAGATTCTCCAGGTCGACCGGATGGACTTATCTGTCACTTCCCTCTGCCCTAAATTCAGGTGCATCTGTCAACGGTTCGCTCACTGTACATGCATCCGTCTGCCTGTTGTTCTCATTTGATATGGATGGCACTTTGCCGGAATAATTTTTCGGCCCAAGATAACCCTGCCCTGCGGAGGGAAGTGTAAGGGTATTCGAGCTCCGGAGTCCAAGCCATCCACCCCGGGAAGCGGCCGGCGTTCGGTGTAGCCCCGTCAATCGCTCCGGCCACCGGGTCCGCACCGAGCCACCGACCGGCCTGGTCACCGAGCTCACCGATTCACCGAGGTGAGTCGAACCCACGAGGGTTTCTTATTCCCGTAGCGCTTCAGCATCGCTGCTCACCCTGCAATCTTCTTTTAAGCTCCCTACCCCAGTTTCAACCTTTTTAAGTAACCGAATTTCCGAACGCGAACTCCCACCCAGGCATCGCGACAAGCATCTAGACCAGACTATCGACCTCGTCTGCTTTATAGGAAATATCAGGAAAATGAGAGGACGAATGACACCATAGACACTGACCGAACATCATCCGCAAGACCCTCGCTATCCCCTTCTCACCCTTGCATGACTCTCTCTCATCACAAGCTTCTGCGCTAACAGCGCGCAAAGACGAGTTCCTCGACTCGGTGCCCTCGTTTAAGCTTTGCCAACCCTCAGGATGACCCCTGCCCCGAGTTCTCCGAAAGCTTAGAGACACCTCGAGACGTTGCACCGAGAACAATTTGCACCAATAAGCAGAGCGCAACCCCCCGGATAGGACGGCCATGTTCATCTGATCACGAACCCTCTGATAATCCGGTTAGCCGTCTTTTAAACGAGTTCAACAAATCTGGCTTCCGCCCCCCCTCCACTCAGCACGGCGTGCGCAGCCCAAGACCAAGTGCCGGCATGCCGCCTTGGGCCCGTGTCTGGGCAACTTACCATTGCATTGGGCGCTTTCTGGAAGAATAGAACTCCAGGTCCTATTCAGGAACAAGGCACACACCGCACGGCGCGAATGGTTCCGCCGTCGTGACCCCCTTTCAAGCCTTACAAGCGCACCCGTCGGCGGACCCGTTCCAAAGGGGAAGAAGTTCTGCACTTCAACGCGGGGTTACGAGTTCAACTCAGCTCCGTCCCTTTTCTCTCCCTCCCTTACTCTCCGAGTCCTTCGCGCCATCTTTCCCACGAGGCGCCAGGCGCCTCAACTCGGGCCACAAGAGGGGACGAGTTTTTGCTCATCCTACCTTCTTCATCAACATTACTTTCTTCATCAACATTACCTCCAAGCTTAATACTCGAGTTGCTGTGTACGGCGACTCGGGTCGTATTTGCTCGCCGAAAAAGGTAAGACACCTCCGCTGGGACATCCCAGCTTGGAAGCTCCATACTCCGCCCTCAGTCCGCGTGGTCGGTGACCCAACTCCCAGTCTCCACGATGTTGAGGACGGGCCACTCTCAACGATGAGAGCCCGCGATTGGCGGAGATTTTCCTTGCTCGACGACGGCCGTCGTGAAACACGAAAGACAGAAAGCCCCCCCCCCCCCCCCCCCCCCCATCCCCTCCTACGCCCCTTTCTTAGCACACAGCAGCCACTGAACCAGATTGATTGTATTGCGCCATCGTCTGGCCTTAAGAAGTGGAGAGGGGCGAGAGATGTCTGTAGTTTGGACGCTTTGCGCTTGCAATCAACGGCTCGGTCTCTGCTTAGCAGCAGTGTCATGAGAGTACTCTGACAACCAGTTTATCAGGTGAACTGCGCATGCCCGATGACAAAAGATCTGAACAGGCTCTCAGAGCAAAAGTCAGCGAGATGAGCCAACGACGGAGATTCGAGGAACACAGCCACCAGGCCCTTTCGAAACGAAGCAGCGCCGTCTCTCCTCCGTGTGCGGGGCGGAGAGGAGCCCCGATGTGACCTCAAGTGCCGCTGCGAGCCTGCGGCTCGTCTGATTGCTGGTCTTTTCCTTGCCTTGCAGCCGCTCGCTAACGCAAAAGTCTACTTTATATGGCACACCACGAGGACCGGCCCCCCGTTGTCAACCTACGCCGCTTTCTCGTGATCGTGGTCTCGCCCAGGACTCGACCGAGAGGGGAGGACCCGCTCACCCGGACGAGTGGAAACACCCTCGTTGACTGTGACTGGTGTATCCTCCATATTGGCGATATTGAGGAGGCGTATAGACGATCGTTGGAAACAATTGAACCGGGGTCGAGCGTTGCACTAGTTGATATTGGCTGGAAGATGGGATTTCCCACGTATCCCGGCCCTGACGGAAAGCTTGTCAAGAGTCAGTTAAGAGCCGCTCTGCTATAAGCCATTATAAGCCAACGCTTCCCATCCTGTGAAGCTTTTCATCCCATCTTCTCACGACACACACATCCCTTGCCTCGGTCTGAAACCTCGTCACTCTTTACAGTCATTCTCTACTACCAAACGATACGATGCGCGCCAACATCGCCCTTGTCGCCGGCTTCCTAGGCCTGGCCTCCGCCCTTCCCACCGATACCGAGAGCGTCGAGAAGCGCCAGACGGTCCCGACCATCTACCTCTGCGGCGACAGCACCACAGCCAAGGGCGGCGGCGGCTCCGGAACCGAGGGCTGGGGCCAGTTCCTGCAGTACTCCTTCTCGACTAGCAAGGCCAAGGTCGACAACCGCGCTATCGGCGGCCGCAGCGCGCGCTCCTACACCCGCGAGGGCCGCTTCGATACCGTTGCCGGGCTCGTCAAGTCTGGTGATTGGGTCGTGATTGAGTTTGGACACAATGATGGCGGCTCACTTACCCCTACCGACAATGGAAGGACGGATTGCTTCGGTGATGGTACTCAGACTTGCTCGACTACCTACAAGTGAGTCTTCCTGAGACCTCCATTTCGTGAAGAAAGAGATGCTGACAGTTTGTGTAGTGGTGTTGCCGAGACGGTTCTCACGTACCCTGCATACCTCAAGAACGCTGCCAAGAAGTTCAACGCTGCTGGCGCCAAGGTATGATCACCGACTTGGATCTTTGATCTCACATCGACGTTTGACTTACACTCATCTCGCAGGTCATCATCGCTGCTGCGACCCCCAACAACGTCTGGGAAACTGGCACCTACAAGTTCGGATACGACCGCTTCTTCTACTACGCATGGTAAGCCCTCCCTTCCTCCCTTCACTTTCCCGCCCCTCGACATCGACACTAACACCAAGAACCAGGCTCGCCGTTGAGCAGCTCGGCGGCCCCTCAAAGGGCTACTACTTCGTCCCGCACGGCGAATACGCCGCCCAGGCGATGAAGGGCCTCGGCGCGACCACCACCAACGCAAACTACCCCAACGACCACACCCACACCGCGCCCTTCCTCGCCGACGCGATTCACAAGTCCTTCGTCCTCGGCCTCAAGTGCGGCACCACTGCCCTTGCCTCGCTTGCCAAGAACACCACTGCTTCTTTGACGTCGACCTACCTCGGCGGTTGCGTTGACACCTACAACTCCACCGTCCACGCTCTCCTGCGATAAGCGGACTATCTTTCCCGTTCATATTTGTTCAAACCTCCATCTCAAGTTTATAACACTTGAATTCATGCACATACTACTTTAGGTCCTAGAGACTTGTTCGGAGTCGATGGCGATTGCTCCTCCGACCTGGGCGTACATACATCAATGCACATAACACTTCTGCTCAGCCTCTCACATTCTTACCGTGTAACTCGTGACCTCAGTTTGATTCCTCTTTGATACTATGATGATCCCATCACAATACCATCTAATAGAAAGCGCGTGTCTTGGCGACCTGATGACTAAATCTCTTGAGATTCCCAACTGAGAGTGTACATATGGGGTCTGTATCCCACAAATCTGGGTGAAGTCACTCCACCATCAACAACACAGGTCCAAAGCGTTCGCCGATACCTTTGGACACTTATGCCATCACGTGCGATGTCGACTGCCGATATCTCACCTCCACTCATGAGCTTCAATGGAGTCTCCTCCGTCTCTACTCAGACGACAGTCTTACCCGAAACAAGCTTTTTAAGACACGGGCGTGCGCCTGCGCTTCCTACGCCAGCTGAGGTTAGGGCCCGCAACGAAGAGTCGGATGATATCTATGCTACGAGCTTCGATCGCCCACCGCCTGTTAAACTCTCTTCCCTAGGATTGTTTGTCAAGTGCGGGGACGATGTCACGATCATCGAGGCCCAGACTCAGAAGGTGGCGTACGAGCGACTGCAAGGCAAATTACCCGTGCCCGAGATCTTTGACTGGGCGGAGGATGACGGGCAGAGGTTTATTTACATGTCCTTGATAGAGGGAGTGACTCTGCAAGACAGGTGGCACGACTTGATAGAGGACGAGAGACGAGTCGTTTGTGAAGAACTCAAGGAAATGGTCAGGGCGCTGCGAGCTTTCAAGCAAGATAGTCATGATCGATTTGTTGGTGAGTGGATTAAAATCTCCGTTCTTCTTTGCGAGCCATTCCAACACGACGTCCCGTCCTTTAGGTAGCCTGGGCAAGCAACCTCTGAACGAGATCTTCTTGACGTCCCACCCAGATCTCAGAGGACCATTCGTAGACTTCAATGCCGTTCAGCAGTTTCAAGACGCCTGCGGAATCGAGATTGATGGCGACACACAAATTGTGTTTACACATGACGATCTCGTCCCGCCCAACAACGTTTTTGTCACTGGAGGCCAAATCCAAAAGTGGCAGCTATCATTGATTGGGACCAGGCAGGATGGCTTCCCAGTTACTGGGAATACTGCAAGGCAAAGCAGGTGAGGCTCAGCCCGAAGGATTTCAGTGATGTTGGCCAGGAAGAGTGGCGCACACAATATCTCCCGACCATTTTGGATCCGGTGGACGACGAGGCATACTACCATCATTGGCTAAATCTTGTGTTGTCCAAGGGCATCTAGTTGATTTCCTTTTGGCGGATGAGAGTTCTTACACAAACTTGGAGATGATTATGATATAGAGCGGGATGTCGTTCATTGATTATGAAAGGTAGTAAAAGTTACATGGTGATCTGACTTTCTGCCCGTCACCTCTGCACTACCTATAAATCCATGACCCATAGCAGGCATGATATCAGGCATGATGATGAATGCGAACATCGAGACCAAAAACATGCTGCACTAGTCCGTCCCTCGATCAACAGTCTTGAATGCAGGAAAGCCCCTCCACGCCAGAGAATGAAAGATTGACTTCTCCAAAGGGTTTCCGTTTGCGACATGCGAAGTTAGGTGACGAAGAGACAGAAGAAAGAGTTTGGTCTTAGTAAGCTCCATCAATGAGATACGCTTCCCTTCGGTGGTGAGTTACGAGTGCATTTGGTGACGAAGATGTATCAAGAGGCTCTTCGTCTCGTTGTTTGCTGATAAGCTTGGAGTAATGGGATCTAGCTTCCAGCCAATTTCCTCCTGTTCAGTGTTCCCTTTGACCCTCGAATGATTCTTTCAAGATACCATTGCAGTCCGATAACCCCACCGCTATGCTACCCCGCTAGTGTGCCGCGTCCCCGGGTTGACGCCATAACCACGTTTTCCGGATCAACCATCTGTCGCGTTCTCACCACACCATGTTACCTTGTAGACACACACTCACGATGCTGTCTCACCCATGAACTCAAAAAGGAGGTTGCGGATGATTATCGAGGCTGACTGGAATGTGCTCCCATCAGCAAGGGGTCCTGCGGTTACCAGGGATGCTTATTGCTGACAGCCTCGGACTGGGGACGGATTGCGGCTGGCGGAGCTGAATGCTTATCGGAATGCTCATAATTGGCCAGAATACGGCCATAGGAATTCCTGCGATGCGCCGAAAAACGCGGGTGCCTGCATAATGGAGTTGATGGGGTCATTCTTAAAGGATCCAACGTGGCCGGGAGAAGTTTTGGTCAACCTGATTTTAATGTTGTTTGCCCCTTGACTGACAATCGACTTGAGATCTCAAAACATTCAAGTTGCCATCACCATCCCAGCCAAAGTGTAGAGGAGAACATCGTCACCCAGCTTGGTATCGGCGAAGCCAGCAGTAGACAGAGATTTGATCACAAAGAGATCACAGTGAGGGACTCTCACCACGCCGCCATCATGGCCCCCGCCGACAAGATCTCACTCGAGTTCATCACCACCGGCAACGTCTGGATGCACACCGAAATGCAAGGCCAACCCATTGAAAACCGCAACATCGCCCTCCGCTTTCTCCGCTCCTTCACTGGCGACTGGATCGGCCCCATGCCCCTAGGCGCATTCCTCATTCATCACCCAAAGGGCCCCATCCTCTTCGACACGGGTGTCTCAACGCACTGCACCGAACCGGGCTACTTCCCCTGCTGGAACCCCGTGCCGGGCATCCTCAACAAGCTGCAGGTCACAAAGGAGGATGGCATCGTCACGCAACTACGGAAACGCGGCATCGAGCCGACGGATCTCCAGTTCATCATCATCAGCCACCTCCACCACGATCACGCCGGCGGACTGGAGGTTCTTGCTGTTGAGGCACCTGAGGTGCCTATCTATGTCGGCGGAGAACACTGGGATGCGTTTGGGAAGCATCCTATCTATGCTGCTATGCAAGGGTGCACGCCGGACCGGTGGCCCAAGGACTTTGAGCCGCGGATTCTCGACTTTGAGGAGAAACGCACCGTGGGGCCGTGGGGCCGGTCGTGTGAGCTCGCGCCGGGCGGGACGGTCGTCGCGGTCGATACGCCGGGCCACGTCCCAGGGCACATCTCGTTGATCGTGGTGGGGGATAATGACGATGGGAGCAAGACGAAGTACTTGCTGACGGGAGATGCGACGTATGCAATTAGTGTGTTGGACAAGGAGGAGCCGGATGGTGCGAATAGTGATCCCGTGGCGGCTTTTGAGAGTTTGAAGAAGATCAAGGCATATGCCAGGAACCACGACGTCGTGGTGCTGCCGAGTCACGATCCGGATACGCCGAGGCTGCTTAGGGATAAGGTGGTCTACCGGCCGGGGAAGTAGACGGATGCGAGGGCCGAAAGTCGAGTTATGGTGCTTGTAGCGAGGAAACTAGAGCTATCATGGTCATAAGTCATACTCTCAAGTGTGATACTCAACAGAACAGCAATTGAGTGTAAGACCCGATGGGAGAGACGACACTGCTTCGATGGGGGACTCGTAATACAGGATGGGACAGGCACAATGACAGACAGCGCCAATCTACACGCAATTAGTCACCATCTCCACGAGCTTGAAACAATCGAGACGGATGAAGGTGGATGTATCGGCAGCGGGACAGCAAGCTTGGGCCGGTGGTTCACAACGACGATCGATCTGTGAGCGAAGTGGGGGAGATGCGGCTGCAAAGGATCGTCGGAGCTTACATACTAGTAGACTTTCATGCCTGCATCACAGTACCCCGTCCATGATGCCCCTGATGCTCTCACTATATCTCTGGGCACCAGCTGCTATCACTAAGGTGCCTCGATGACCACCCCTATGAGTTTGCCAGCTTCCTCGGGTTGTCAAGCTGTGAGAATGTTTGCTCCCTCGTCAAGGCCTCTTCAACACCCTAAGCCCGTGTCAAAGCCCAGATTTAGTCGGGGATGGGGAACCAGATGCATGTGCTTTTGTTGACGGCTTAGAAACGTCCCTGCTTATCCTGGAAAAGCGTAGGAATGAAAGGAAGTGCGCCCTCGAGCATGTTGATAACTGGGTAGAGCTGCCAACAGGGAACGAATGATTCGTTACTAACGTCTCAAGATTGATATTCAATTCTATTAAGTGAATGGGGAATCTATGTTATGCATATCTACGTTCTGAAAATCCGCCAACACGCTCTCAAACACGGCACAACCGGCCGTTCTGGGTCGGGAAGCCGTCAAGCTGGCGCGTGATGTACCAACTCTCACTACCCACAGCCAAGTTGGCATAGAAGACACCAGTAGGATCAATCTTCTGCTTGAATGCGAGCAGACGAGCATACTTCTCGGTTCCGTAGAAAGACTGCTGGTAGTCAGGCTCAGTCACGTCACCCTCGCTGGCATATCCGCCACCGCCAGGAGTGACGTCCCGCCAGGGCTGCATCCACTCATTAGTCAACAGCTTCGACTTCTCGGCGACAACCTCCGCGGGTGTGCCAACGTCCCAGCCCATGACGGAAATGGCAAACATGGCAGAACCACGCCACGCCGGGTTGACGGCGTTATCGGGGTAAGGACCGGGGCCGCCGGTGATACCGAAGCCGATGATCTGGCCGCCCTTGTCACTGAGGCCCTTGAGAGCCTCAAAGGTAGCGTTGAACTTGGTGGCGTCGGAGAAGTTCTCGGTGGGGAAGAGACGGCACGCCGTCTTGGCGGCCGTGCCGCCGACGGACTCCTTGGGGAAACCGGCCTTCCAGGCGGGCAGGAAGCTCTTGTGTTCAGTGTAGACGGGTTCGACGGTGATGCCGAGCTCCGTCCACTTGGCGAACAGCGGAGCAGTGAGCTCCTTGAGTTGGACGAGAGTCATATTGGGGGCGAACCAGGGGAGCATGGTGAAGGTGAGGGCATCGGGGCCGGTGTGGAAGATGTTCCAGTACTCGTAGTTGCCGGCCGCGTTCCACGTGGGAAGTCCTTCCCAGTAAGCCTTGATCCCTGCCCAGAAGGCTTCGTGGCTAACGGTATCGCTGGTGCCGAAGCTGAAGGTCATGACGGCGATGGTGTCGATCTTGGGGTAGACTTTGACGACGTATGAGGTAACAACACCATAAGTGCCTGGTGAACGGTCAGCTTGTATTACTTCCTATAAAGATTTCTCAACTTACTTCCACCGCCACCACGAAGAGCCCAGAACAGCTCGGTGTTCTGCTTCTCGTTGGCAGTAACGAAACGTCCATCGGGAGTAACGACATCGATGCTCAAGACCTGATGGAATACAATATCAGTACGGTGATATCAAATATAGTAGATGACGAGGCATCCTTACAGAATCGGCAGCAATGCCGTATTTGGGCGACAGCGGTGAGTGGCCACCACCAGCGAGGTAGCCTCCAGCATAGCCGACAGTCATACCCTCGCCTCCGACGGCAGTGACGCCGTACTTCTCAGCCGCCTCATACAGCTCGAAGCCCTGTACACCGGCACCGACCTTAATGGCGGGACCAGAGTAAGACGAGGTGGGGTAGGTCTGATAGAAGTTGATGCTCTTGAGGCGGTGTGTCCAGATGGAGAGAGCACCGGATCCAGAAGAGCGACCGTTGAAGTCATGGCCAGTGTTCTTGACCACGAGGCGAATGTTAAGGTTGCGGGCAAAGTTGACAGCGAGCTGAATCTGCGCAACATTCGTAGCCTTGACGACGTACGAGGGGAAGCCGCCGACGGTGCAGGTACCGGCGGAGCTGTTGTCCACTGAGGGTGGCATGCAAGTCAGGCCCTGGTACAGAGGGCTCATGACTGAGGTCGGATCCTCGGCACTTTATATTTCCATTAGCAAGATGAAATCAAACTATAGAGGCAAAGAGGCTTCGACTTACTGGATCGTAGAGTTCGTCCACTGGTTGGTGATGTACTCGCAACGAGAGGCATCATAATTGCCAAAGTCATCAAAGCAAGAAGCGCCGATGGGCACCGTCTCGCTGACAGCAAATCCAGTCAGGAGGTTGAAGACACTCCATACTGCCTTGTTCGGCCAGAGCAGGTCTCCAGGGTACGTCTTGCACTTGTTGAAGGTGCGGGCCGTCCCAGAACGCTTCTCCCCGGCGGCAGTGGTGTCAAAGTCAAAGAGGGAGATGTTGGAGAGGGAGAGGTCCGTGAGGTTGGCCAGAACGGCGTCCGTCAGCTGGACGCTCTCTTCCTTCAAGAGGTCGGTGGAAGTGGCAACGACAACGGGCTCAGCAGCCGGGGCCACTGTGGACTTGTTGGCTTCTACAACACGGGTAGCAAGTTAGTCATGATGCCAGTCACAGAGCACGCGCATATGAACCCTCAGGGGTTTTCAGACTGCAAAGTCAAATTGCAAGATCAACATACCGATTACTGCATCGTCAACCACAATGGTCTGAGCGTACGCCAAAGGCAGGGCAGCGGCCAGGAGGAGGGCCTGGCTGAGTCGAGACATGTTATGTGCCAAGAGATTTGGGGGTTCAGAACTTCAGACTGAAGGAGTAAAAGATTGGACAGAGGGCGCGACAAGGAACGGGTTTGCGTGCTTGTCAGACAGGAACCTCCAATGGTTGATCACCGATTTTGTGGCTGGCGGTGCGGCGGGAGAGATGCGAGCGAGCAGAAGAAACGAAGCAGTACACCCACGGGATTTATAACATCCACGTGGAAGCGTTGCATCTTGCCATCCGTCCTTTTCACACCAGTGACACCACGCGTATGGTTCGATAACAGGAGCGAGATATCTTACTACCAACGGTCTACTGCCCGTTGTCGATAGTCTACGGTTGGTACTGCCTACCTAAGCCCGCCGACGTATCCCGGTAACACAGTCCTTGCATTCGTGGCGGAGACCTTGCATTCGATAGCGGCAGAGGTCGCGAGTCCACTGTCCACGACATCGCACCAAATTACGAGGATGAAGGACTCAAGGAGGAAGGGACCATTTGGACGAGAAGGGACCTTGGGTCCGCCCCCGGGCAAGCATTGCACCGGGGGCCCGGGTTCGCTTACACAGATCTGGACTTCTGTTTGGGCCGAGGGGTTCGGGGGCAAGTAGACTAGGCTCCGATAGAGCAACGTTGGTGGCGAGAGTCGTAAAAACCCCGCGCCGGGGGTTACAACGGCACCACATTAGCAACATCGGCATTGCAAAATTGCGCAAGTAGCAGATGAGCTGGTGTCTCCAGGACCATGGATACAGCTTCTTCTAGACGTCGTCTCCCGAGTGCCGGCGCCGACACTAACGGTTTAAGACCAATGTCTGTGGGCAAACGTCTGCCACACTCTTGGGCGGGTTCGTTTTTACGGAGTAGAAATGGTGTTGTCAAGCGGCTGAGGCGTCTGCCAAATTGTTAGTCAAGCCGGATTAGCCTGGTCTATCCGTAGCCTATCCGTACCTATCAACGTCTCTCTTCCTTTAAGAGGCAGGGTGGCGAAGAGAGTGTCGGGAGCTGGAGATCATTCATATGGAACAAGCCCCCCGGTGAACCTTCTGCACGCTTTGTCCTCTTCCGGGCACCGTCGCTCCACCGAGTACCTTGTTCGCAGCCAAATTCCGGCTGTCCGCGTCAGTGAATCTCCACTGCAGAGTCTAGGGATCCCCGAAGAAAGATCTCGGGCTTTGGTGCATTGGTGGGTGAGACTGAGGGATTTGCAAACGAACTGCCCATTATCCACATAATAAGGGATGTGGATAGCGAGCCGTGCCTCTGGCTCTGGGGAAGACATTGAGTTTATCTTTGCGATCTTGCTAATGTCTCATAACTCGTCAACTAAGCAAGTGTACAGCAAGATCAAATCAAATTGTAGATGAACTATATGATCGGTCACGACGTGGACTAGTATCGAAGACATGTCAAGATCGGAGCCAAGGGAAATCGTACGATTTTTTCCCACAGCCCAAACGCGTCTCTCACTGCAACCCATGGAAAACACCGGAGGAATCCAGGGACTAGAAAGAGAATCTTTGAGAGGATATTTGCCGTCTTAAGGGGGTTTCTTCTCTGCATGATTGTCTGCAAATTCGTCCTGCGCCAACGCGGCACAGTAAACTCTGTTTTTCTTCAACCCTGTCAGCCAGGTAACATTCGGAAATCACTATTCAGTCGTCAAGGGGTCAGGACACGACCCGAGTCGCTGAAGGACTTACCACGATTCATTCACACTAATCCACTAGTGCTCAAGGAGGACATCAGCTCCACCTCGCTCATCTAACGCCCAACGGCGGTTGCCTGCAGTCCTTCAAGGAAAGGAAAACATCCCTCGGCCGAAGCGATGAAGAAAGAGGGGAACGTCGTATTCACAAATCACCGCGTAACAAAAGTGCGAGGTCGCATCCTGAATCTCATTCACCGGCCCCATGTTCCGGACACCACCACGACGCCTTACTCAAATTATGCTGCTGTGCGAAGCGAACTAATCCACTTCCCGCCTCAATACCGCATAGCAGGTTTCTATCCGGTGGGCGTTTGCAGAAATGCGACTCGTGTTGGGCCAGAACACGGTCGGCCAACAGCAGAACTCAGCCCAGATATATATTGCCCTGGGGTTGGCCGGGTTTCCCTTAGCGATGACTAGGCATAAGGAGGAAAAGCGAAATATTCAGCATGTACGAATAAATTGTGAGGCTGTCTTTCGATAAGTACGAGGAAGTAACTACCTTGAACAGTAGTAGTATATGTCTCTGTAGGAACCAGTGATACAGAATAATACTATCCACATACTACTTGCCCTTCCGTAAGTAAGACGCTGCATTATGCGACTCGGCACTCTGTCCTCCAATTACCTTCCGTCTCATCGTGGTTGGCTTACTGCCCGACGACTGTGCCATGTGAACCATGGTAGTCCTAGATGGCACCGAACAGTTTTGCCTCTATGGCGTATTGATAGCCCAAATGGAGCGAGGAAGCCGGATTTCAGCCCGGATTGTCGGTATTAAGCTTTCAAATTATCTGGAATAGTCCGCAGCACCCCTTGTCTAGAGGCAGGAGAAGACTGCAGGAACTTGATAGTCGAGGGCCTGCAGTGTTCGAGAATGCGCCATCCTTGACAGGTCCCTAGCATCTTCTCGGACGCCATTGCTCTATCAACCACTCACAAGTCTTCTTTTTCGTCTTTCGTGAGCCAAGCCTCGGGTACGCAGAGTCCTTGCCTCCTGAAGGAGTATTCCTTGCTCAGCGAGCACAAGATACCAATGTCTCCTAGTGGTGGCGGAGGAACGATCCTGAATCAGCGTGCTGGTGGCCTGTATCCTCCGGCCAGGGATACAGCAATGCTACCCAACCGGCGGAGATTTGAAGAACTTCAGCAAGTTTTCTGCGGCAACCCCCAAGTCTCCTCGCTGCCCTGTTCTCTCTCTATCCGTGGAAATCACCGACCGGGAACTTGCGAGACTAGTCCGTCCCAACCCCAGCCTTACCATGAAACGGGGTTGCAGAGAATGCAAGTCTGTCACGATTGGCGTACCACTAGGCAGGTTCGAATACTGATTACTTCCCTTCCAGTCTTCTTGAGTACACTGTTTCCGTAGAGGCTACAGATGGACGTTACCTTACTTCCCTGTCCAGCGTAAGATCACAGCTAGTCGCATGGCTTTCTCCTGTTACGGATGGAAATGGCAAGCAACTATGCTCAAGAACACTGACCAAGCGTTCTCAATATCAAGATCGTACTGGTGAAGGTCACCCTTTTCAGAGCAGCCGATACGAAGCAAGGTGCCCAAGTGTCCCAGGAGGAAACTCGAGACCCAACACCTTGTATATATCTCACAAACTCTCCCACGGACCCATCGCGCGACCCAACCCCCGATCCTTTTCTTCGACCTCTCCCCGGCCTGCTCTTCCACCCCCGGACTCCAAGTTTAACTTTGGTGCCAAGTCTGCAGAGGTTCAAACTTTACTTTTCATTCCATCGAGGCAGTTCAACTTACACAATCGTTTCTTGACTACGTGACGAGGGCCAAGCATGGAACTCGTCGCTCAGCGAGCCGTTGAGGCTCGGTGGGCCAATGTCGAGGACCTACCATCAACGCCTTTACAGAAGGTGATCATGGCGATTCTGTTCTTGTTCACATTGACTGCATTCTTGACCTATATCTTGAGAATGTACAGCAAATGGACGTCAAAACAGATCGGACTTGGTAAGTGATCCGACCTAAGCCTTTCTCGTCGAATGTTAGTCTGATCAGATTATCAGATGACTGGTTTATGACTGGAGCCATGGTAAGACCCGGCCTCCACCGGCAGAGTGCCGATCACCACCTTTTGGTGTTTTTCCCCGGACTAACATCGACATGGCAGTTCTTTTCAATGGCACTACTGGCACCAACATACATGTTCTTCAAGTACTACTACGCAGGCTTTCCTACCGCGGCGCTGCCCGCAGACTGGGACCCCGCCCCCATGCTGTTCTGGAACTGGATTATGCAGGTCCTTTACAATCCCATTCTCGCGCTGGTCAAGTCATCGATTCTCGTCTTCTTGTTGCGCTTGGGTGGACACAAGCGTGGTGTGCGATGGACCATCTACGGCCTCAATGCCGTCAACCTGGCGACGATGGTGGCCATTTTCCTAGTAGTGCTATTCCAAACTCTTCCAATCAATGCTTTCTGGGATTCGACTATTCCCAAGCAGAGAGAAATCGATGGACCGCTATTCTACATTGTTAGCGCCATCATAACCATCATTACAGACTTCTTTGTTCTCGCCATTCCGTTTTGGATCTTTCTCGGGTTGAAGATGCGCATGGCCGCCAAGATTGGATTGATAGTGGTGTTCCTAGCAGGTGGAGTGTAAGTCATAGCATCCCATGGACCTCCAAGAGCCTCGAGAGCCTGAGTGGATCTCGTCTGCGACGCTTTTGATGCTTACTATGAGAAAGGTCTATTATCGTGGCCATCCTGCGTGTTCATGAGCTTCGGAAGAAGTTCTACAACATCACCCCTGGCTACGATCCCCGAGACGGAATCGGCGACACGTACAGCGCAATCGAAGTCAATCTCTCCATCATTGCCGCATGCGTTCCGGCTCTGCGGCCCCTCTTCCGCAAGTGGATGCCGGGAATGTTCTCCAACAAGAGCAGCGCCGACAACGCAGGGTACAACAGCAGTCAATACGGTCGTTACGGTGCCGGCACCGGGAGCGGCACGGGCACCGGTCGGTTGAACAGGAACACTGTCGGAAATGGATTCCCGTTGAAGGACATGCGAAGCACCCACACCGAGATTCGAGGCCACTCACCGGACGGTAGTGAGGAGGAGATTATGACCTACAACGGCATCATCAAAACGACCAATGTAAGAACGAAGATGAAGATTGATTTTACGGCTTAAGGATACTAAGGAGTTTCAAAAGGTTCATGTCTCGTATGATGATTCGGTTATGACGGATAAGGAGTCTGGAAGGGAGCAACTGGAATCGGAGAAACCGGTGAGGCGAAACAGTAAATTTGGGGTAGGTTCAAAGTAATGGTCTCAGGGACATAGCAGAATGACGGTGCTTCGTGGGACTTCCTCTTGGGAGGTAATTGGTATGAGCGCATGATCAACAATTATTTATCTCGCTATTTAATGATCTCACTGTATGTGCTGGAAGCCCAAGGCGTTTCCGCGAGTTCAACATGCATCATTGAGGGCGCTATTCAACCTTTCAAGGTTCATCTTGACATCGATGACACCCCACCCTGAGGAATGGGACACAAGATTGCTTTGAAATCTGTGAAAATGTGAGCAATGGTGGCATCATGTTTTGACCAGTGTGCTTTGGTCGATTGTTGATAGATGTATGTTTTACCTTCATGCGCAAAAGTGTAAGACGAGTTGTCATCGGCAACTAGCAGTCATAGGTCCATCCCAAGCAAGTCCCATCTGTGCAGGCAACGCAATCTTTCTTCCCATTGACGCATTCCTGGCAATAAAAGCCATCGCGGGTCTGGCGACTCTCGACAGCATTCATGTTGCCAATCACAGCCGGAGCCGCAGCTGCAAAGCCGGCGAGGAGGCCGAGCGTTGTGATGATGGCGGCGAATTTCATTTCGAATGGATTTTCTCTGGATGGACGAAGAATGAGGTTGATCTAGCCTGTGCTCGAGACTGTGTTGTAATTTTTTGTCTGGTTTACCGGTTACGTGTCACCACTGGCTTAGGATAAGCTATGCTATTTAAGTATTTGATCTCAATGCCTCTCTTGAAGTTTTCCGCACGACTGCTGACTGTAGTTCCCCTCATCTTCCATCTTTGGACAACCGGGAAGAAGATAAAACGCGAAAATCACTCATGACTTCATCTTTTCCAAACTTGAGACTTTTGTGAGCCAATTCTTGCAGCGATAGCTGCAACATGCAGTGATACGAGGTCTTAGAAAAGACGGAGTATGACAACTGTTGATAGTTTACCCATTTTTGGAGCCCCACTGAGGGGAATCAAACGATTCCAAGGCATGAGTGGTGGAAACAGGACACAGCCAATGTCAAATAGGGTAGGTCATAACTGACTGTTACCCCTTAGTAGATAGTCGAGATCTTCCGTCCAACCTTGGCCTAAGTCAAGGCGGATATGTTGCTGTAGACGGAAAATAGCCAGCGTTGAGGTGCATAGCCGACGGCACGAAGTTCGCCAACAAGTCGCCTAAATGCTTGTGGCTTGTGGCTAGGTTAACAGTGGGACTCAGCAGCCACAAGCCAGAAGTTGGATGTTCTCCCCAGGCAACATCAAGGCTAAATCATCGGCTTTTGGACTCATTGACATCATTCATGAAGCTGAAGAATAACTCTCTTGATTTTGTGCAGTTCGTCGTTTTCTTGTGGTTAGCGTTGTTCAAATAGTTTTCGAGCTTGAAGAATTATGTAGGTAGTTCGAGGCGACAATTATTCGCCAAACTGTGTTGAACAACTAGAATAAAACTGCAAGAGGCTTGCTAACTATAGTCAAACGCAAAGTATGCCCATTCAATGACTGGATGGTTCGTGGGCTAATGGAGGAATATTCAGGGAAGTGGGTATTGTGAGTTTTTGACGAAGCCTAGATGGAAGAAGTGAAACTAGGGTATGTGGCAAGTAGATCACTGCATTGGGCTTTAGGCATTGAGAGAAGCAAGATGATTGCTTGTATCTTTTAATAAACGACTCCAGAAGTAAAATGTCATCCAATGATATCCAAATGCCTCAATAATCTGGCCGACTTAACCAGTGCAGCACTGGGTGTCGCAGCGCTCTCCCTGAACACAGCTCATTAGGAAAGCTAAGGTTGAGTGAGAATAGAGAACCTACTGCCTCAGTCGTGGTTTTCGAGGGCCCTAAAGAACGCTCGAACCCTTTGCCTTTGCACATTTCGTTTAGAGATTCGGTGATGCCATCGGCAAAGCACAAGCAGGCGCCTCCAGTGCAGTATGTAATAGTCGACGAACAAGCCTGGGCGGCAATGCCGACAGCCATGAAAAGGGCTGTGTAGAAGATAGAAAATTGCATGTTGTTCAAAAAGTTGATGATTGTGGGTGATGATGCAGGGTGATTATCTTGAACACGATCGAGAGACGGGGATTTCGAAGTTTTTATAGCTTCAGCACACCATGAACGTTTGACTCTTTGAGGGATCCTGTTGAGGTCGGGTTCCCACAATACCGAAATTGAGCCACTTGGAGAACCCGAGATATGTTAAAGGAGGAATTGAAAAATAGTAGGACGACCCTTGTTAGGCATGATCATCTGAAGCAACTGCGGCCGGTCAATGTGGGGTCGTCTGGATATGCCCTTCACTTGGATGATCTGAGACAGACAGCTGGGCTCGCGTGCCCCCCAACATCCGATCTTCGTGTTCATCCGACAACCCTTCGACCTTGATATCATTTAAGTTTAAGGCTGGGATCCAACTCTGGAGTGATGGGGCAACTTGAGACTACACAAGTGTATTATATTCGTAAAGGAACAATGAGCGAAGTGCTAGAAGACAAGTGCGTCCTGAGGAGGTGGCTGATGATGTAGCGTTGGCTCCAGTAACGAGCCCGGCTCCCATCAGAGCAGTTTTCGGCTATCTTTTCTCCCTCTCCTGGCTTACTCAAAATTGGCAACGGCGAGCTAGACAATAAGAAACGGGCTGGGTTACATAAACTTTGGGTAGACTGAATGGTCTGTCCGAATTGAGGGAGTAGAATAGCCTACCAGACGATCACTACGTAATCGAAGTGCATCAGACAAAGTACCGTCTTGCGTGCCAATATGACCCTTGTCCTATTTGAAGATACATATGACAGTGACATACGCGACGAGAGGGCTTATAAACTTTCGGACAGGATGCCCGAGATTCAGATCTTCAGATAAGAAAACATCCGTACGATGCAGTTGATTACTACTCTATTTTTACCGAAATGCCAAGCTCGCGTGCTCCACTAACTGCCTCAGATTTCTTGTTGTTTCGGATCGGATGGTACCGTGATTCGTAGGTGTGCCTCATCAAGCAAGTGATTCCGCCATAACTGAGTCAGGAACTACTCAATGTGAGGAGTAAAGACATACCTCGAAAGTTTAAAGAATGGGATGCTTGTGGAGAATACCACCAGTAAAGAACTACTCAACACGGCGTGTGCAATACGGCGTACCCAGTTCAGAGATTGGAAACTCCTTGGTAGGGCCATGATACTCGCATACGTACGTTATGTCGAAGGCTGAATAATGCGCGACTCGTACTATTTGGAGCGGTCTTTGCGATTAAGGCATTCCCAACCAGAAAACTCGTGATAACTTGAAGTTCGGCTCGATGCACCGCGAATCCCCAACTGCAAAAGCTGCTTGGAGCTCGACACAACTAGCATGTAAGCTGATGAGGGCTACGGTTTTTACACCATATAGTATTGTTCTCAAGCGTTGGTCTTGGTAAAAGTTACCTTTCCAAGCTGCGCAAGTCTATGTCTCACAAATACCTCCGTGCACCAGTACACTGAGGTTCTTCTCTTGCGTCGAAATCTGTACGTCAAGAGCAGGATTACCCTGGAAGAAGTTGACCGGTTTCAGCCCTACCATCATTTTCTCGCACGGCATCACCGGCCAGTCTTCAATACGAGGATTATGCGTGGACCCAAATGTGTGCCAGATGACAATGTCCTCATTGCGCACCGAAGACGAGGCGTCGTCTTTCCGCTGATCTATCCAGGATGCGATGCCATCCTCTCCGGTCGACTGCATGGTAAATCTCCCCGCTGGGAAAAGCTCCTCATCGTGATGCCGCGTCACCCAGACAGCGTGCGATGTATACCTCGCACGCTTGCCGTGCCATGAACTTGGCTGGGCGAGAAGAAGCTGACTATAATGAGGGAGCAGCTTGAAGCCGACAGCGGTTCCAGTAGTTGAGTTAGTGATGTTCTCGTTGACGATCTTGAAAGTTCGGTTGGTGTTGAAATCTAGATCCAAGCCTGCCTCTTTCTCAATGACTTTAGATGTTGTGGTATACCCGACACCAAAAGGGTTGTACGTATCCATGTCTCCACTGAAGGGAATTGGATGGGATTCTTCGACAACCAAGGAGTTCTTAGGCCCATCAATGGCAGCATCGATCCTTAAGCAGAAGATGTGCTGATGGTATGGTGCCAATACGCCAGGAGCGACGATGGTCCCCCAAGGGACCCTGGTGTCAAGGTCAATGGGTGCTGTTGACATGATGCCCGTGGCGCGAACTTCATAGAATATGGAGCCGTCCTGCTGGAAGTAGAAAACGAAAATATACTCGTAGTTGCTGACTGTGATGATGGTCTGCAGCACAAGAACTCTAGATCTTGTTACTACAGCGTTCCCCGTCCGGAAGTTCGTGTGTTTCCAGAGAATACCGTCGTCGATCTCATGGCAGCAAATGACGTTTGGCATCTTCAAAGGTTCTCCCGAAGAAGTACTAAGCCACCCGTCAAAGTACTTGATGTGTCCAAGACAGTCGCAGCCTAACTTGAGGTTGTTGGCGTTGATGCCAGCGCCGTCGTTTCCCAAATCGAAGGCAGCTTTCCGGGGATAGGGGCATCGAGGGTCACCGTAAGGCACAAACATCTCTGCAAGAGACAGACGATGAAACAGGCTACGACCCTCGAAACGGATATCGTGAAGTGTCATACCCTCTCTGTAGTTGAATCCGACTCGCATTGTCCACTTTTCCCAAGAAATATGGTTTTCGTCGATGCTGAACGAAGGACCCTCGGGCTGAGAGACATGATACGGTTTTGTTGTCGTCCTGCGCCCTTGAACGAAATCGGGGTGATATTCGCTATTGGAGTGAATTTTGCGGCGGTCAAATTTCTTCCCTTTGTTGCTAAGCTGGTCGTGCTCTCCAGAAGGCAGTCGGTAAATTTTGACGACTTCTAAGGTGTTGGAGACCTCGGCACAAATGTCCAGTGGGTAGGCGTAGTAGTTGGCGTCAGGATTGTCTGAGAGTCGCATATAAAACCAGGCCTAAATTCGTTAATGGTCTGAAATCCAAAGGTAGAGTAGTAATCTCACCATTGTCCAGCGGTCTTTCATATCCTTCATGCCGTCCGTGGCATAGGCCCAAGGCTCGACGACAACGGTTGCGCCCTCTGGCAGCTTAAGGGCACTAATCTCGCGTTGAACACTTCCATCTGCTAAACATGCTGCAGCAACTTGAGCCATGAAGTCGGTGTCTATAAAGGAGTGGCAACCTGGCAGGGGAGTGATAAACGCAATGGTCGCCGTGCCCAAGTCGACAATCATCTCATGCAGAGTTTTTGCGATGTAGGCCTGAACCCTGGCCTGTCTTGCTGGGTAGATTGCATCATTATTGCCAGCATGCTCGCCGTCGAGGAACTTAATCAGCTTGGTTTTGGGCGGCTCAGCAAGAGAGATGGCTCGAAAAAATATTTCTTTGCTTTGGTTCGACTCTCGGACAGCTGCAGCAGCCTGAATCGTTTTAGACTCGCCATACAAAACACATATCTCATACATCTTCATGCTAAATAACTCACATGGCTGATTTCTTCTGGACGTAGAGGATCAAGCGGATGTGGTTTCCGCTGTATATTAGCGTCGCCCATCTGTACGAGGTACTGATGATCGACGTGGATGCCAAGGTAGTAAGCTGGACAATGGATCTTGTTCGAATCAAAAGCTGACTACCGTTAGACAGAGACGAAACTCATAAGACTTGAGATGGGCTGTCAGGGCAGTGGCCGGGGTTTTAAACTTCGCAATGGCGCCGAGAGCGGCACATGTGACTATCTCGGGGTTAACAAGCCGATAATTCGGAGTGATAGCACATCCCCGCACCGGGCGGCGTGCGTCGCTGTACCCGAAGGGTAATTGGAGCCTCGAAAGTGGGGAACTTCTTCCGATGCCGTTCCGCAAAGGTAAAGAATTGTCGAGATAGTAGCCGATTCTCCGGTCGTCAACCCGGTTCTTCGCCCATGATACCGGTCCGGGCCCTCTATCCTCCTGCACGCCGAGAGATCTTTCGCGCCCTTCGGGTGGAACCTCTTCCCCACTTGTCTAGCGGTTCATGACGAACTTGTTTGGTCTCTAAGCGACAAAAAGGAATACCAATATTGAGGATCACCCTGCAGAGTAGATATGGGGGCCGTTATTAATCTACCAGTTACAGGAAATCTACTGTTCATCACCTATGCCCCTCCTCTGTATTTGTTGCCCGCCAATCCCACTGCGGTACAATTAAGCCGCAAATGTCAAGTTCAGCCGCCTGAGTCTTCGACCTTTCGAGTCTAACTTTTACATGGCCTTCAAAGTACTTAAAGCTGAGGCCAGGTGCGCTTTGAAATCAGATCCTAGCTCTTAGGGTAAGCCATCCTCCTAGAAGAAGGGAACGAGCAGCAAAGTAGCAAACACCACCCAGGAAGAGGATAGCAAGATAAAACCCCGAGAGTGCCGTCCCACCCATACTCTCAAGCATCTGCCCTCCGATGGGCACAGTGACTAGCAATGAGAAACTAACCACGAAGTTCATTGTGCCTGTGGGTTCAACTGTTAGTTCGATTGATAAAGCAGATAACAGCGGTGGAAGAACTGCACTTACCGAGATACCTCCCATAATCCTTCGGCTCGCAAGTCTTTCCTAGACAGACTAGGCCGAGTTAGCAATGCAATTCGTCTGTAGGAACCTGATGATGGTGAACCCTTACCTGGCGTGCTCGAGAGGAAGGAGCCAGATCCATAGCCCCATAGAGCGGCAAAGGCATACAAGGCACCAATATGTTTGGTCCCAAAAGGCACGAAAACGACACCGGTAAACACGATAGTAATGCCTATCATGATCATGAGAATGTGTTGAGGTGGCCAATTCTATCACCGATCACGCCGGTCATGATGCGGCCGAAACATGAAGTGCCGTTCAAAATGGCTACAAGGGAGAAGCCGATATTAGAGGGAAAGCCTGCAGCGATGGCAAAAGTGGGCAATAGACCAGTGATTCCAAAGAGAACAAACTCTAGCATGAAGAGACCTCCAGCCATAAATCCAAAAGGCGGAGAGCGAAAGGCTGAGAAGTTGAGCATGGCTCCTACTCTCCCAACTGGTGCTCCGGCAACGGGAGTCGACAAGCGAGGATACGGAAGAAAGCATAGGACGCCCACGACCATGATACCGAGAACTAGGAAGCCCATGATTCTCATGGACCACTGCCAGCCCAGTCTAGGTAGGATTGACCGAAGCATCATCGAGATTGTCACACCTCCAAACGAGGATCCGGACAGGGCGACACCCATGGCAAGTCCCTTGCGACGGTTGAAGAGTTTTCCGATCACTGCCACCGCGACTGTTGACGTGAGAGCGCCGCCGATGCCACCTAGCACTCCTAGACAGAGAATGAAGTGCCAGTATTGCGTGCATTCGCCCATGATGAAGAACACAGGCACATAGAGTGCTACAGAGATGGGAGCTAGCCACTTCGTGCCATAGGCGTCCATCAACGGCCCAGCCTGGATTCCAAGAAATAGCGCAAGCGAGGTGAAGATGCCGCTTATCCAACCAAGATCGCGAGTGGAGTACTCACTCAGCTGGTTCAGCTGGAGGTATGACTGAACAGTTCCCACAGATTGCATGAAACCTATCGTAAACCGTGAGCATACTCATCTCAGAGATATGAGGCACCATCAGGAATCTCACCGTATGATGGATAAAGAAACATGAAAGATCCGAGAACACAAAGCCAGGCCAACGGGCTAGATTCGGGGTCGTGATGGTGGGAACTCGTCGGACTTCGCATTGCTCCCAGCTCGATGGCCCCGGGAGCATCATGGGAGTCACCCGCAGCTACTCGATCCCGTTCTTCTGAAGCGCCCATCGTTCCTCTCAAACACGATTCTGAACCTTTGCGATGAAGTTGATGTGTACTAGAGGAAAGTTGCAGTTCGGTATACGAGAATTTCTCCTCTTATGTCGTATCTCGGGATTCAAGGCCGTCTGCCCGGGATGCCTGCCGAAGACGGCACATGCGCCTAGTAAGAGTCATTCGCGCATGCCGACTACGCCTTGCAACCCTTGCGTCCCATAGAAATCACCGTAAGTGGCAGAAAGTGGGGTCCCACGCCCTAAGCTTATCATGTGTTCGCCCTAGGTTGGTTCAAAGCTAAGTCGATCTAGAAGCGCTTCCAGAAAGTTTGCATGTCTCCACGTCCGATGGACGGAGATGGGTTGGGGTAGTTCTTAGTTGGGGTTCCTCGGGAAACTCTTCCTGCCAAGGCAGTTTTGCGCGGACGCTATAGTAGAGCTCACAAAGCGGACACAAGTTTTAGCCTTTCACCAATTTCAAAGCCCGTGGCTTGTATGAAGTCTTGAATGTAATGTATTGAAACACAAGTCGAGATGTATATACACGAAGATCGCCTCGCTTGCTCAAATATATACACAGATTACAAGTAAGAAGCCTCAACCAAGAAACCGACGGTGAACTTGGAGTGGCGGAGGACGGCAGACCACTGGATAGTGTCGTAGCTCTGTTCCACGTCAAGTCAGCAACTAGATTATTGCCATAGTGGAAGTAACGGGAACTTACGTCGTTGGGGCTGTGGATGTAAGGGGTGGAGGTGTCGATGGGCTCATCACAGACGTAAGCAGCAGCTGTAAGATCGTGTTAGCTATCGAATAGCACATGGCCCGAGAGACAGGTGTGAACTTACGGAAGCCGTTGGAGCGAGCGCTGGCGTGGTCGGAGCACCCGTATCCACAGACATCGCTGGTAGGCGTGCTGCCGGTGTACTGAGTTCCAATGAGACGCACGTAGGTTGTGAGAGCAGAGTCGACTATCAGGAGTTAGCGATGCTACTGCATGTATACGTGCGATGGTCCATGAGCTTACCGTAGTCGTTGTAGACAGAGATCTTGCCAGAGGGAGAGTATCCAGCCATATCCTGGTTGACAAAGCCAAGAACGGTCTTTCCGGCAGACTTGTAGTTGGCGAAGACGGCCTGGGAGCCGAGAAGGCCACCCTCCTCGCCGGCGTAGAAGTGAAACTCGAGGGTGTTTTTGGGCTTGAAGCCAGCGTTGGCAAGGACACGAAGGGCCTCGAGAATCACAACGACACCAGAGCCGTTGTCGTCGGCACCGGGTCCACGGGCAGTGGACGATCCTCCAGTGGAGTCAAAGTGGGCACCGACAATGACTGATGGCTGCAATCAGCATATGAAAAGTTGGATTTAAGATGGATGGCTCAACATACCCAGGTCCGAGCTGGTTCCGGGAATCTTGACGATGATGGAGGGCTGGCTGAAAGAGTGAGTGAACTGGGTGACGGTGATGGCCGAGTTGGCAGCCGCAACAGTCTTGACCTGGTTGAACAACCAGGTGGCGGCCTGAGTACCGTAGGTGGAGCGGTAGTAGCGGTTGTAGAAGCTGGAATTTGTTAGTGCATGCTCACAGATCGCATATGAGGAGTTTACAACTCACTCGGTCAAAGTCTTGAGCCAAGTCTGGGGGTTGGTGTTCGACACAGACGCGATAAGGGTGTTCGCCTCGGTGACGTGGGACAGGGTGGTGGGGTATGTCACTCTGGCCTCAAGGACCTCCTCCGGCGGGGTGGACAGGACTGCCAAGACCTCCTCGTCCTTTGATGGGTCAGCTTCATTCAAGAATTTCCGGGAAACAGTTGAGACCTACGGCGATGTCGGTGATGTCAATGAAGCCAATGTGCTTGTTGACATACTCCTCAATCTTTTGGTCCTCCGTGACCCAGGTACCGGCGTCAGCCTCGGACGTCTTGATCAGACGGAGCGCAGGGTCAACTTGAGTCTCCTCCGTAGCAGGCGCAGCCAGGGCAACCCCGGAGGCCGCGAGGATCGCGAGAGCAGCGTGGAGATGCATCGTTCGAATTGTCCTGTTGGTAGCGGCGTCCGATGATGAATGGTGCAGGTGCGACGACTGAAGCAAGAGAACCTCTTTGGCCAAGAACCTGAAGAGGAGCCCCCTTTAAATACACTCATCGCACCATAAGGAGAAGCGAAGCGTCTACGGCATCCCGCCCATCGCTCGCGGGATGTGGAGGATCAGCCAGCACGACGGCAGGACCCGTTGCCCCAAACAGGCATCTCATTATAGCAACGGCTTTCGCCGTCGTGGCACGTAATACAATGAATAAACAGAAAGAGGAAGCCCGTTATTCAGAAGCCCACAAACATCATTCAGTCTCTCGGGGGATGGAGAGCATGCGGCAGGAGCATTTAAGCTTATCATGATCGCCAAGCCCGCGCGAACTTTAGGAGCTGCCCAACGGAGCTAGTGTCGGCTGTTGGCTGGGTCATCGATGCTACCCCGGCCGGCAGTCCCGCACACTCTGACTGGGTGTTTTGGGGACGTTATTGGATGCTGCTTGGGTTGTAATGTCGCTGAACACGATTTCGGTTCTTGGCAAATCCACATTCCGAGCTCGTGAGCTGTTTTTTGTGCTGGGACGGACTTTGTCTCTATGACGCGCTACTGAGTTACGTCCTGCCTTGTTGGTGCTCGTAACTTAGAGGATGAGGGCTCAAATCTTGGGAGCATTTTTGAACGTCTCAATACCTGTACTCGTACTCCGAAAATATAAAACAAATTCTTTTCTATCATCCTGCTATGTTGGGCTTGTAGTCGTCGACCCTTAAGATACCCAAGTTATTACCGTACACGATGAAAAAGGCCAGGAATCGAGGCCTACAGGGAGCTTGACTCGTCTAAACCCGAGCCCTCACGACAATACCACTTGAATGCTCCAAACGTTCTTTCAGACAACCTCAAGCTCACCTTTCCATTTCTCTCTCAATACAGTGTGGCTGCGCGTCTTCAATGAAAAGACAGACGCAAACGGCATAAGAATACCATACATTTACACATGTTCACAACGAAGCAACAGTCCCTCTTGCCACTGGCTCAATCAACCTCGTGAGTTGCTATCGGCTCCCCCAACTGGTCGGAACTTGCACAAGTTGGGACGGAATAATACATCCCGTGACCCGTTGGTCGCCGTGTATCCAAATACTTATGACCACCACCACTAGCGAAGTGTCTCCAGCCATGTCACTGAGGGCATTGCCTTCGTGTCGGGAACCTTTAGATCGGATCTCTTCCCAGTCTCTTGATGAGTGACGCTAGCTCTAAAGTCATCCTGGAACTGTGTCATTGCATCGGCCCCCTTCCAGATATCTTCAGAAGTCATGTCCCGCTAGCCGGTTTTGGCCAACCCTTGAGCCAGAAGCAATATGTTCTCGATGTCCCGTCCACTGACATCCAAGTGTGATAATTGGGTAAGAAATTCTCCTTTAACCCAAACAGGACGCTGTCCACGACATGCTCGTGTGATCCAGGTATTCCAGAGTTGCCTCCTCGCTGCTTCGGATAGGGGCTCGTATGAGAGCGCTATATGAATTTGAGACATGAATGCGCTGTCAATTGTCCCAACACGGTTGATTGTTAGGAAGAGTGTTCCTTCGAAGTACTCAAGGGTGCGCAGCAGCACTTATCACATCAGTCCACGTTATCCGCGATATAGAGACGAGAGCTTTTTGTACTCACTGGAAACTAATCCATCACGCTACAGACTTGTAAATTACGAGCTTGCATGAATACGTCTGCTTCGTCTAACACCACTAGCGCTTGCCACCGGGCAGCACAACGTAGTAGTTGTGCAAAGAACAGTTCGACTAAGGCGGACGGCCCAATGAACTAGCCTGAATTAGACGTGATGAGTGGTCGACGAGCGCGGTCTGCCATCACCCCTTTTTCAAGGCGTTAGGGACACTCCGGTATGATTCAGCGTAATTTTCAGAACTTGCCTGCAGTGAATGTTTTCCCAGCTCCCGGAGGACTGTGCAGTAGGATGATTACACCTTTCTCTTTACCAGCGACGAAGTCGTCGGTACTGAAACCCTCTAAGTTGCGAGACATGATAAGAAATGATATGAGCTTTTTCTTGTCACTAGGAAGAATGAGATTTTCGAAACACTTGTCGTTGAAGGTGGCTGGCTGAATATCGTCAACGTTGAACCATCCCCACTGGTTGTTGATCAAGATGAACGCCGGGACCTCGTGATTAAAATCAGTAAGGCGGCATCATCAATTTTGAGATCCGGCGATGCGGGGTCGATGATATTTACTCCAGCCTCTGAGAAGTCCAAGGTACGACCCTCGAGATTTTGGTAACATTCCTCGAAGTCGACAATGATTCTCTGTCGAACCTAAGGTACCCAAGAGTTAGTATAAATATCTCTCGCCATCGATTGTAGAGCCTTACCGCAGCTATGGTGAGATGGCGGTCGACTGTGGTTGGCGGTCTTCGTCCACTGAGCCTAGCTTTCCCATCGTACTGGTAGTGGTGAATGCCTGTCATAGAGATATACTTTGCCCCTCTCCTTAACATACGACGCTTGACAGCTTCTCCTTCCTTATGGAATCGTAGTAGGAAAATAGTGTCGTGAACGGTGCAAAACCCTCGTATTTGGAAACAGCGGTGCGTTTGTAAGCGTATCCGACCTTGGTTCCGTCGGCCTCTATCAACCTAGTCATCAGCCGCCAGTGCTCGTCATCTTTGTCCGAGCGCGATCCCTCCACAGAGTGGAGCATAACGAGGTTCTCGATTCCGTGGATCTTCTAGTAAAGTAGCTCGCCTGGCTTGTAGGCCTCCCAAAGATTATTGAAGTCTAGTCCGGGATTAGGGAACCTTGTCTCCGACGGTTGCGTTGTAGCTTGAGATCTCATCCCTGAATGAGCGGCCGACATATGGCATGCATAGGGTCATGTGACTCTGCAGAGTTGTGTCCTTGGATGAGCTGGCATACTTTTCAAGATCTATTTGATGGTGGAAAAGACACCGACTGGAGTCAGGCATCAGGATGACCTTCCTTGTGGCATCAAAGCCTACTCCAGGGTAAACTTTGACGACTTCTCGCAAAGCTTTAATCAAGTAGGGTGATCCTACTTCGAACGAAGTGCGCCACGGCTGCAGGACTTTCGAACTGGAGTAGAAACTGGTCAGTACAAGAGGCGCGCCGTGGCTGGGCTCCTTGGGATTCTCGAATTTCTGCTTGATCCCAACTCGTAGCAGAATTTCTTCGTCACGGGTGTCGTACCGGCTATCGTAGACGTGTAACTCAGTATCCAACACCACTACCTTCATCTATGTCCACCGCGTCCACAAAGTCAAGACTGTCGGGTTGCTCGCTAGTCTCAGAACTCTCCTAATAGTCATCATAGTTGCTGCGGTTTTCGTCGTCTTCTGCATTCTCCGAATGTGGATCTTCGTAAAAGTCAGTGGATCCTGTCGAAACGTGTATCACATCTTTGATGTCGGTCTGTTGCGTTGTACAAAGCCGCAAATCACCATACTTGTAACTGCTTGTAGGTTTTTGCTGTTCGGAGGTGGCTGGGAATCTGTTTTCTAAGCCCAGGGCTTTGTTTCCCTGAGCTTTCGAGGAGTCAGCGGCCACTGTGCCTGTGGGAAAGCCAAGTATACTTGTAATGACTCTTTGTCAGTGCGGTTTCTATCGCGGAATGCAATGAGCCAAGGGGAAGAAATGAGAGGAAAGTCTTTCGTACAAATTAAGGCCCCCTCCCTTTTTACGGGCAGGCTTTGATACATCACCTGGAGCACTCGCCGGGTTTTCCGCCCTCTTCAGTAGGAACTAGACTCTACTTACGTGTGAGGTGTCACTATCTGGTCAGGTACTAGATAGACGGGGAGAGACCTTTCAAGACTGAACTTTCGATCCTCACGCCCGCTCTACAGTGGCTCGTGAACTGATGTTCAATATCCTTGTGCAGCTAGTGTTGCTGAACCAAAGCTTGTAATCGTGTTTTCAAATCACCAAAATGGGATGCGAAACCTCGAGAAGCTTTCGTAGCAGTTGAGACATAGCCAGGCACAGGAATATGTAGAATGGCTGACATATCTGTACTTCGGGGGGTAAGTGTTTCCACTGCTCTGAGTAGAACAACGCGCGTCTCTGAAATCCAGTCGATCTGAGTCGTATGAGAATCTTATTATAAGGATGACAACTAATGATGATGTGCCACTGCTGTTCACTCCAGCGCTTCCGACCGTGGCATGAAAGTTAAGGGTTTGCCAAGCAGAAGAAATGGTTATGAGTGGGTATCGTGGTTGGCATTAACGTTGATGTCGTGCCTTGGTTGTGTTTGTGTGAAGTGTGTATCACAGGCCATGTCTTTCAGTATCTTAGTGTACGCTCACAGTCTGAGTATGAGTACCGGTAGTGTAGTGGTATTGTAGTATGTGCTCAATAAACAGACTTAACCCGACGCATCCATTGACCAAGCATCTTCTCATAAACGTACAGCAGTCGGAATATGTCGTAAGGGAGGTACCCAGCATTCCCACCAAAGCTATCGCCAGCCTATTTCGCTTAGCACTTCATCGAACGCTTCACCTTGCGCTTCACCTCGCGCCTCTCCTCCGCCCAATAAGGGTACCCCTCACACTCCCCACTCTGATCCCACTCCTTCTTCAACAAGCGATCAATCTTGACAACCTGCTCATCATACCACAAATCCAACCAAATGGCATTTTTCCTCTTCTCCTCCTTGAGTGCCTTTATCCGCCTCCGATAGCACTTCTCAATCCTCTTCGCCATCAAGATATCATTATTCGACACCTTCCTCGGATACCTCTTCTCATTCTCAGTAAGCTCTCTCGGACCGAGGCCACCGGGGAAGAACTGCACATTCGCAGCCTGCATCCTCATACTATAATCCTCGTCCATGCGAGCGTGGTCGTGTAGCTGGCATTCTTTGAGGTCGGCTAGCTGTTCGCGGAGTTTATCCTGTTGCGTGATGGCTAGGCAGTTGACGTATCCTGTGCGCTGGGCGAAATCTGAGGTGGCGATACCGTGTTGTTGGATTGCGTCGAGGCCTTTGTAGACTTCGGGAGCGGGGACGAGGAAGCCAATTGGGCGGGTGTAGGGGACCATGTAGTTGAAGATGCGGAACATCGTGGCCGTTGTTTGTTTGTTTGGTGAGGATGAAGGATAGGTAGGGGTGGATGGAAATGGGTGAGAAGCCTTTGGACTTCTGACCAGGTGATGTAGCTTTTTCCTGTGTAGGAGAGTGACAGCCTGTAAGTTGTGTTCGTAGTGTGGCTGGACCGACTGTGTCTGATGGTGTGATCAAGCTCTAGCGTCTGGTGGTTCGGTAATGTGGAATGGAGTATGTGAATGTTGTGCAGAACTCTTGAGAGTTTCTTACGTGAAGAGTGAACCGTAGGCTTGTGAATTGCGTCAGACAGGAGTGGTGATTTCTCTAGGAATTATCAAACAAGTTGGGAAGGATGGTGCGATTTAAATAGCGTCTGATATGCAGTCAAGGTGCGACTTCCAACCATGATCATGGTCCTAAGTTGAGTCAGACCTTATGATATCGTGGTTGAACCTCTCTTTTCTTTCCTTTTTGTGAAAAGTTAAGCGCCATCTTGCTCATTCGGGACCTTGCTAGAGCATTGTCACGATCGATTATTGGTAGTCCCATGGTACCTGTAAGAGATAAATGTATCTCCGTCTGCTCCATGGCCAAAGAGGTGAGATATGACCTTGATGTGATGTTCGGTCTAATATATCGGAGTAAGATAAATAAGAGCTTCTTCATGAAGAAGTCTACTTTGCCCCATATACCATGGGAGCAAAGCCCACTCCAGCGGAATCGGAAAGGAGCTAGATAAGTAGTCTCTTATGCCCTGTGGAAAGGCTTCATTTCGAAAGGCAAGATGACGTAAGCAACTCACAACAAGAAACTTCTTCAAGAGACAAAGGTAGTATGACCCAAAGTATGAAGTATAAGGTATGGAGAGCAGAGCTCGAATCCATTTGTTCTATCTCTACGTCTATGTCTTTCATGTTATCTAGTGCTGTATTTGTCGCCACCAAAACCCAACGTCTTGTACTGTTACTCCGTGGCCAATGCTTGAAAGAATAAAGTGAATCCAACCCAATCCAAACGAACGCTACCAACAAACGCCAAAGTGCCATTTCATATGCTTGCCCTTCTGTACTCCCTCTGAAACGCCGATGAATCCTCCTCTTGTATCCTGCTCTCTGCCGCGAACCCCAACTCCACATCCGGCTCGTAATTCCACCTCTGACTGTTGAAAAGTTTGCCGAATAGCGGCGAGAGCGAAAACCATAAAGATGTAACCGTGTAGACTCGCATCAACTAGAAGCTGAGCAGACCACTCCTTCTCTTGCCCAGAGGGTAGACCATAAGGGCGCTCATAAAAAGTCCAACGGTGATACCAATGGCGACCTGAATAACACTAAGAAGAACCGCAAAGGCCGAGTTGTTGAGGTCCGAGCTGTCGGTTGATGTCGAAGTACCGTTATTGTTCGTTATCTGATCAGCCGACGTGACACCCGCCAACAACGATCCGCCTGCCGCAAGACCACTGGGAACCTGCACAAATATAGCAGGAAGCATAGCGGCGGCGGCGAGCCCATAGCCAATGGTGCGCTTCCGCTCTGGAACAACGCCTTGAGCCTTATCCTTCTCGGAGAAGGCAGCGGTCGTTGGTGTTGCTGGCGCCGATCCTTCAGGGGTATTCTCTCCAGGGGTGTGGACACCCGAGGGACCAGAAGCTCCGGCTGTTTGGCCAGACATCTGGTACATTTCTGGACGAGGACGCTCATTGCGACGACGGCTAGCGCTAACGAAGCGCGGGGCCATGCGAAGATCCCACCAGTCGAGGAAATCGAGGAAATAGTTGTGAGCATGGCGACCGAGGCGGGAGTAGAGATTAGCTAGCAACCCGACGGTGAGAGCGCCAAGCATGTTCGAGATTTGGGCATTACCGACAAAAAAGTCGGACGAGTAGCTGTTAACTAGGAAGCCGGCGAGGGAGATGGTGACCATGACAGGCGTCTGCTTCCACTTGGCCTGATTGATAATGCAAAGGCAGAGAGTGAAGCCCGGCACAAACAATAAGTACCAATTCCTATTAAGCGGGTCGGTGCAGGTAGTTCTCGACTCTGCGTGGCGGTCGATCATGCCGTAGAGGGCAGTACCGATAGTGGTTCCGTATCCGAGGAAGAGTGTGTAGATCATGGCATAAACCATGCGAACACTTCCGGCGACCAAGTTGTGGCTTTGCAACTCCAAGCTGCTGCAGAGGACCATGTAACCAGGAAGAATGAGGGCGATGGAGCTCTGCGCCAGAGCGGAGAAACAAAACAACTCGCCGTTGTTGATGGAGCCAAAGGCGCGGGCCAAGAAGGATGTGACAATGGAGGCGGTGATTTCGAAGACATTCGCGTACAGCTCATTGCTCGGAGCAAGGATCAATTGCATCCAGCCCAGAATGCAACCGAGAATGAAAGCGATGGGCAAGTCGATGAAGCGTCCCTGGAAAGCAAAGGGGGCGACGCAGACACTGGCGAGACCATAGACGGGCACCCGCATCCAGTTGCCAAACTTGAGCTTGCGAGCTGTGATGCTCTCCAACATGATGGTAGCCTCGTCGGCGCTGATCAGATCATGGACAACCTGCTTATAGATGTCATGCACGTCGCGCAGCTTGCCCAGATCGACACCATGTGCCGAGCGTACGATCTTGACCTCAGTGGTGTGGGTGGCGCTGTCGTCGAAACTGATAATCATACAACCGGGAATGTAGAGGAACTGACCCTCTATCTCGAGGACTCGTGCCGACATCTTCATGTACTCCTCCAGTCTGTGGGTGGGTGCCCCATACATCATCAGCGCCCTGCACAGCTTGACGAGATACTTATGCCTCGACAAGATCTGGGCAATATGCTTAGTAATGCGGTGCTTGTCTTCAGACTTTGATGACTTTGGTGAAGATCCACCCCAGACTCCAGACTTCTTCTTCTTCGGCCGCGACGGGGGCTCGGTCTTGAGCTTCTCGGTGAAGCCCTGGCTGAACACACTCGAGGCCGGCCCAGCCATCGCGGACGACGACTTCATAAGCTCAGCGAGAGCCATGGATGAGCGAGAACCTTGCTTCTTGTGGTAGTTGAATAAACCACTGTTGGGGCGGGAAGGCCGGGGAGATCCAGGGGTCGAGGGCGCAGCGGAGGCTGGCATAGAGCCCGGAGGCGAGTGGTTGGGCGTTGCTGTAGCTGGTGTGTTGGACCCCGGAGTGTTTCGGCCACTGCTACCACCGCTGCCATTCTCATTGTATAGCTTGAGGAGCGAAGACAGGATACCCCCGTGATACTGCTTCGGGGGTGGGACATAGTCGTGAGCGTAAGACTGCTCCAAGGTTGGTGTGGCGGTGCCAGATCGAGCACCTGAAGGCGCCTCGTACTTGAAGTAATCGTTCGGTCCTCGGCCACCCTTCTTGGCACGTCTTGTATGGGATCGGACAAGATTTTCGGCATCCAAGTGCGAGTTCTTTCTGGGACGGGACCGAACCTTTCGTCGCTCATCCGACCCATCTACCGCAGAGCTCAAGCCGGTGACCTGGTCGGTCTCCTCATCATCACTGAATGGGTTGAACCCATCGATGGAGTTGCGACGAGAAGGTGGTGAAGAGTAGTTCTCGACACTCACGGCCAGGCGGTTGGCACGCTGGCGAGCCTCTAGACCCGAACGCTGCTGCCGCTCGCCGGCGGTTTGCTCGGCGAGGTCAGCCTTCTGCCTTTCCTCCGGTGCGTCGTAGCTGGTGTTACGGCGGAGCACGGGCCGGGGCCGGGCAGGTGTCTCGGATGGACTGCTCTCTTGATTCTCCGAAATCAAGACCTGGGTCAGAGCTCGGCGCAGCTCGCCGGCGTCAGGAGCTCCCACTGGGGTTGCGTCGGTGTCTCGTCTTGGAGTAGCAATGCGTCCAGGTGTATCAAAGGGATTAACTTCGGGAGACATTGATTGCGCGAAGTAGTCATCGTCAATCACGATGCTCGGTGGCCGATTGTCTACCAGAGGTGTCTGGCTAGGCTGAGGGCTGTCGGCATGAAAGCCAACCTTCTTCTTCTCCTTCTTCTCTTTTCGGGCCTGCGGGGTTGCGGACGAAGGGTGAAGCAATGGCGGAGTCTGAAGCTTAGGTTGTTCCTGTGATGGGTTCTCGAAAGGATTCGGTGGTGTGTTGCTGGAGCCAGAGCTCGTCTGGCCGGACTCTACAGGCGAGCCCGACATATTGTCTAAAGTGGAAACGATCGCCGTTTCCAAGCTATTGGGTGTCTCTGCTCGATTCTCCTCAACTGACTCTGAGGATATCGCAAGTGGTGGTACAAAAGCCTCTATACAAGATAGTCGTGATTGGGTAGGTTGGAGCTGTTGGTGAAGATGCAGGTTTTCTGTGTATATCGAGTCAAGTATCCAGATATCGATGTAAGAATAATGTCGTCGTTATCGTGGGGTAGTGTCATCAGTGGACCTCGCGGCGGTAGCACTCGTGGAAAGTAGGCGCCATTGTGTAAGGAAGTTGGAAGCTAGTTGAAGGAGGGTTCGAAGGGTGGGAGGAGGTCGAGGAAGAGGAGGAGGGCGAGGAGGGGATGATCAATGGAGTCGGGAAGCCTGGAAAGCAGGCGGAAGGAGCGGAGAGACGGGACGTAATGAATGGCGAAAAACACAAGACGGAGAAGGGAGAAAGAACTGGAGAAGCTACAGCTGAGAATCGGGCGGAGGAAAGCAGATCCCAGGAACACACACACACACAGAGAGAGAGGGAGTAACGGAAACGGCAACGAGCAGACCGGAAGGCTCCACGGGCCCGTCGTCGACTCGTCGCCGGTTCCTTGCTTGGAGCTTGGTGACCGTGGTGGTGTTTCTCGGCCCCGGTGCTAAGGGATTGGCGTGTTTGGTGCGCCTCTGCGTTATCACGCAAGATTGACGGCTCTGCTCCGTAGTATCCATACACTTGTACGCCACGGCGTATCCGTACATATGTACGTAGAAAACAGAGTATTTGCAACTGTGCGTCTGTTACTCCGTGGTGGTGGAGAGGATGGTCCTTGAACCATGTTTGACGTCGATATCCAGGTCCACGCCCATGGACCCACGTCCGTCAACACACCCATCAAGGCCATGGATGATTGACAATCCCACACCTCGCCATGCCGGGCCCTACGAAGAGTGGGCTGTGGCCCTGCTGCTTGTTCATGGCACCTTGGCCAAGCCAGACGGACTCTCTCGGCTGGCGGGGCACGAGAGCGAGCGAATGTGAGGGTGCTGGGACGGGAACGCTGTGTGAGGGAGGGAAGGGCGAGAGAGAGAGAGAGAGAGAGAAAAACACGAAGGGTCCACAACGGTCGTCAGAGAGAAGTGGAGAGAAGTTCGAGTCGACGATGTT